AAATTAAAGCATTTGCTTGTCAAGCTATCCAAAATTCTATAGCATCAAACAAAAAATCATATTTGTAATAAGGCTAATCATATAATCAGCACATGAAGCGATCACTTTAATGCTATTATTCATCAAGCTTAAAGAGTTACTCAGCTTATTACTCAAAATTAATTCCATTGCCATCCAAATTAAACGAATCATACCTTAATTAGCTATGTATTACCTCCTCTCTATATGATGTCAGCATTCAGAATTTGAATGAATTTCCCTTAAAGGCTCTAGACACGTCGACATTAAAGTACGATGACAGTAAGGAAAAAAAATACGAAAATGATTTTCAATAGAGAATATTAAGAGGATATTTTTTTTATTATTATATCTTACATCATCTCATGAATGGAACGATATAAAAAAGAAGAGAGAAAAATTTTACGAATGAAAAAACACGATAAAGTGTATAATAAAGAGAAAGGAACAATGGAACAGAAAAAATAGCAATCGAGAATTTAATGAAGAAACATTTCTTTTTTATGTTACATCGTCTGAAAATTGGATAGAACAAAAAAAAAGGGAGACAGGAAGGGGGGGGGGTCCTTTTATTGAGAATAATAGTTAATTTAGATGAAATATTTTTTAATTAAATAATTTTCTTTTGGGTTCCACAAACTTATTTTTTGTTCTATCGTTTAGCAGCTTTGATTCAGAAAAAGTTGAAGACTATAATTAAAATTTGTGACAATTGTGGCTTCCGTCATAGACATTGTGGGGTGTTTAACCCTTAAAATTAATTGTAAAGGTCCCCAAAGAGGAAATCAAATTAAGTTAATCATTTCTAATATCCCATCTGGTCCATAGGAAGCTTATATATAAATTATTCTAACCTCAAATCTTGAATATATTAATATAAATTTCGAGATTCGTTCAGGGATCAGTTTCGAATGTATATCCTTAGTTTAGATTTTTGTTTCGAAGGTATGTCGTAGTAAAAAGGCTTAGCTAAGAGATAAAGCACTTCAGTAATATCCGAGGTCAAGGTTTACACTGGTTTATATGCTGACACATATCGATCCATAACTAATAGACTTTTACTATCCATTAATCCCTCCCCAACAAAGTTAAACGATCTTCATTGATCTGAGGTGCTTAAGTACAAGTCCCAGAAATTCTTAAAGGTTTGTTTTTTTCATAATAAAGCCATTAATATCTTTATGATTTCGGTTAGCCGAATGTCAATAAAATTCAACCTCCGCTCTTATATTCTTTTCATTTATGTGTGGGTAAACATAAAAGCTTAATTGAAATTCACATAATGATGAAGAAGCTGTTGTATAATACATCCGAAATTGTATAAAATAATATTTGAAAGAAATAAATTGTATGATTATTACTGTAGTCCCATAACAGATTAATCACAACAGACTACACACTTTTAATGGAATAAAAAGATGATGATAAAAAATATTCAGTAATCTTGTTCTGATTCATTCTATAAATTTATATAATACATGATTTTTTTACTGCAGCATCTCTTTCACTATCCCTTTTCTTCTTATTCCCTTTGTTTTTGGTTGTTCTGGCTTCAATAGACAAAACTTTTACTCGTTTATAATTGGAGCATAGACCACAAAATTGGGGTTTAAGTCTAGTTTTTTTTTATACCGTATATTGTTATGGCATATATTTATTTATAAGTATCCGTATGTGTAAAATACGACAAATTGGATAATCCAGCAGTATTAGTTATAATACGTTTGCCGTCCAATGTGTTTTTTATTTTATTTCCTCTGAATAGATTTCTTTGGCTTTTGCGTATTTGATGAGAGACAAAAATACTTTTTTTTTATATTTTTCTTTCTAAAACCGACCGACCGACTGACTGACTGACTATGAAGTTTTAACCAAATAAACAGCAAGTTCCTGGATATACGTTTATGTATGGCAATACAAATATTTCATGCAAAACCAAAACTGTACATGAAAGTCTTTTTTTTTATTTATTTTTCACAGATTACCCGCTTGATGCATTTTATCATGGATGGTTGAATGGTATTATTATTATATAGGATATAAGCATAATAAACAATAAGATTCGGCAGCTAATGATGAAGAAAATAATTTCATTTTCTTGATATTTATTTTATTTTATTAAGCTTTACTTCCAGAGATTGACTAAAATGTCAAGCTTTGAAATTTTTGTGATTCCTGAGCTGGGGTTTTGGGATGTATCGTTAAGATTTATACTTAAATATAAAGATTTATTGATCTTTATGCATTGCGATCCAATCTTTAATTGTTTTACGATTGAAAATCTTTAAATGGCTGAGAATCCTATGAACTAGCTAGTCTTAAAGATCTAAAAAATAAGGAACAATTCAATAATTTTATTAAAACCAGAAAATTTAAAATAATTGAAAAATCGAGCATTTCTGGTCTTAGTTGTGCGAATATAAATTTAAAGAATTTCCATTATTAATCTCAATAATTTTAATATGTAATATTGCACACATAAACGCTTCCAATTACTCTCTGAATGCTCAAATTTCCAAAATGATTGGAACATAGTTTTGAAATAACTTCGAAGAATGTTTCAAATTTTACCATGCACATTGCTGTCCTCACATTTTGCATGAGGATGAAGCATAAATTCTATACAATTCCCCATTAAAACTAGAAGTTACTGAGAAATCTATTTTTAATTGGAATTTACATAAATTTTAATTCATATGTCAGGCTCCGGATGAAGGACTTTCAAAGCTTGAATCTCTGGGCTTTTTTACCTGCTTCTTTTTTTTATTTTTAAAAATAAACTCTTTATTTATTTTTAGTTTAAAAATCTCTATATCTGCATATGTTTAAAGCTCGTTTAAATTAAATTACAACCTGCTATAATGCACAACACAAAAAATATAAAAAATTTTATAAAAAATATACTGCACATCACTTTCAGGTATTGGCAAACATATCATTTTATTTATGCTAAATTTATTTTTTCCGCTTATGCCTTTAAATTAGAAATGCTTCTAATGAATGCCATGCTGTGTATTGAGGCACGCATTTGGATATTCATAATTTTTTTCATTAATTCTTTTCACTCTGCAGCATTTTTTCTGCTTATTTATTTATTTATTATTCATTAAGTTTAATTATCTAAGCCATGCTAATGAAAAGTAGCTACTTGATACTTTATTGCTCCAATTATGATTTCACGCATTCAATCTTTATATTTGCTTAGATTCCCCGCATAACTCTCAAAAGGAAAGTTTTTGTTTTCTTCTGTTAATTACTCCTTCTTATTCTGTAAATATCAAAATCTACTTCTTCCTACTCACCTGAATTAAGTTTTTTTCTTGTACGAGCTTTTTTTTATTTTTGGAGAAAAGTTTTTAATTGAATTTGTTATTTTTTTCTCTCTCTAGCTGTGAACATACTTAATCATTTTAGCACATTTTTGCCACAATCAATGTTGTTAAGCTATCAATTTTGATTTCTTTGCTCTCAATTATTGTTGAGATGGTAGATTGGATAATCGTGGATGATTAAGTTGTTCTGAAAATTATTATGATTGATATTGTGGAGATTTGATTTAATTTAATCATTTTTATTATTTGTTGATTAATTTTAAAAAAATTAAAGTTTTGACCAAAATTGACAATCCTTAATTTGAGTATCTTAAACTTTCCAACCCGTTAATTGAAATTTCTTAACAATTTTAAACATTTTTTAAAGCTTATGGGGCAAAAATGTGCTTAAATTTGCACAACATCCTCGTGCACAATATCTCATGATTACTAAAAGCATTCACTTGTTGAGATTTGTTTTTTCTCGCTTAGCTGATAAAATTCATGCTTGCTCTTTTTTTCGAGGTTTCTTTTTAAACTTTGTCTATCTCGCAACAACATGCTGCTGCAAAATAAAATAGAATCATAAATTTTATGAGTTTTTTTTTAAAAAATTATTTCGCATATCAGTGAATTAACATCTCGCTCGTCTTACTTTAGCTACTTACAAACCCTAAAATGATTCAATCATTAGCGATAAAAAATATATTTTTTTTCTCTCTTTTTCTCCCCATTTACAGATTACACAAAGTGATTAATTCCGATATCATTATCGTTCATATAGCATCAAATCTATGACGATGTATTATTCCGAATGTTTTGATGATAAATTTATATATTTATCTTCGACACATGTCTTATTGATTTTTTTAAGTCTAGTTAACTAATTGCACAACCAATACATATTTTGAACATGGAAAATCTGTGACATGTTTGTGATTTAAAGTCATTTTCTTATATCATATCTGGTATTTTATGGATGAAGAGAGGGGGTGACTTTGGTGATTTTTAATGAATTGATAATGATGATTATATGTTCCTGTGGTAAATGATAAATTGATGATGATGACCAATATGGATTCTTCCGAAACACGATTTTATAAATGCAGATCTGAGATTTTTTATTTTTTTTTTATTTTTTTCTTATATTAAAACATTTTAAATTTTATTTACACGAATCAATATTATTGAAAGTAATTCCAGATTGTAGAATTTATAGACTATATTATAAAATATACGAAATTTTTTAATCAACTAGAGAATAAATTTATTGAGAACATGAACACCATCCAATGAGGTAGTATTAAAGAAGAATTATTTATGAACATGTTTTTTGTTAATTTTTCATTTTTTTACTCAATAAAGTGCACAATTTTTGAGATTCTCAAGAAAAAGTTGTTGCTTGACTTTTCATTTTATATTTGATTTTCAGCTAATTTGAATTTTCTTCTTAATTTGTTTTTTTAATTTTCAGATTTTTCACATCTCACTTCGTTTCAAGCTTGTTTTTTTGACTCAAAAAGCTTTAATCGTTTTTAAATCCTGGGATTTAAATTAAAACCAAAAGCTCATTTTTCGAAACGGTTTTAAAATTTTTGAAAAAAAGCTTGCGAAAATTACCAAACAAGCAATCCGAGTAAATGAATTGAGTTTTCAATTTGTTTTGTTTACAAAATTTCTTTATCAAAATTTTGGAACATTTAAAACAGTTTAAGGATGCTTTCACTAGTGAATTATGGAGCAAGTGATAGCGAAGATGACATTACAGATGAAGACGAAGCCATTATTGCACCAAAAGTCCATCAAAATGGTAAAGATAAAGAAATAGATAATTCACAAGATACAGAAGACCTTAATGATGCAATGGAATCAACATCAATCATTAATTTACCTCAACCGATCAATCAGACTAGATCTAATCAAATAATCGAGGAGGATGACGATGAATTTTTACATAAAAAAGAAGTACCAGAAATGGCACCACCTAAAGTCAAACAGAAAGTCAAGATTACAATTCCAAAATTGTCAGACTTTAAAGACGAAGAAGATGACAAGGATTCAGGACTGAAATATCCAACAGCATCAAATAGAAAAACAGGATTACTTAATATGCTCCCTAAACCCGCACATGGCTTTTATAAACCATCAATTCCAGCTCCATCAAAACCACAGGCTGTACAAAAGAATATCCAACAAGAAATCAAGCCTCAAACATTAATAGACAGTTCATCAAACTTACAAGACAGTAAAAAGAAAATTGGATTTATTCCGTATGCTCTTATGGATCATAAAAAGACCACAGATGATAATAAAAAATCAAGTAAGAGAAAAACAGAAGACAGTGACGATAGTGATGAGGATGCAGGAAATTCATTCTTTTCATTCAACTCAAAAGATGAAGATCTTCCGAAAGTTAGTGAAGCTGAAATTAAGGCCATGATTAATAAGGAAACAAATCGAATAGAAGAAAGGAAAAAACAGGCAGAACAATCAGAAGAAATGGAGTTTGAGAATCAAGATTATTCGCAACAATATCATCAAGAACAACAGCAGCAGTTGAGTATTGATGAAGAGGCAATGAAGGCACTTGTCGGTGGATCAAAAGCAAAACGGTCTAAATTAAGTGACATCCAGATTGTAGACATATCAGATCAAGATGTATTGCCTGACAAAGAAGAATGGACGAGAAAGAATTTAGCAGGAGAAACGAGTTTCTTGGCTACAGGAAAGATTGATGAGAAAGTATGTTGTATCGTTTGCAATCATTTTAATTACTTACTTGAATGTCTTGTTACTCTATTTTTAGGGACCATCAGCACTTGCAAAGAGAAAACATCAAATTTCCTATTTATCGATGCGTGCCGAGAAAAATATGGCAGAGCTTGAGGCAATGTGGGCTGCAAATCGTCAGAGTAATCGTGAGGGCAGGAGTAAATATGGATTTTAGGCATGCTGCACATTGCTATTAATATATGATTTAAGAGGTAGAGACTCAATTCCAATTTTAATAAATAATTGTTCATAAATTTCAAGAATGATAGTTGGAAAATATCATTTATTATCCACTTAAAGCTTAGCCTGACTGGCTCTTGAAAAATTAATTTACAGTTCCTTAAAGACTAAAAATTCGTCATCGAAAATTGGCAAAAATGACTGAGCATCGATTATTATTCGCCTCATCAAATATTATTAATTGCTTTCACTCGACATGAAAAATAATTTTTGAGAGTCGAACATCTTTTATATTTTTAGCGTATTTTTTCATCCGATAATATGCAGTTCAGCACTCAGTTTTGCTTCATGTACGATCTCACTAATTAGACCTGATAATCTTTATGGTTTCTGTTTACGACTCGCATCCTGTGCATTAATTAATTATGCAACTTTTAAGTTACATGCTAAACCGTTAAAAACTCTAAAGAAATTCGTGACTTTCTGTTGAATATTGAAAAGCCGTTAAAATTTGAATTCAAAAGTTGTAAAACTACATTTTTTAAAAATTTGAATTTTTGAAACCCGTTAAAATTTAAATATTACAAGATCGTTACATAAACCTGATAGATATGCGCCTTTTTCTAAGCAATTCATAATAGAAAACACTGCCAGTCCTATTTTCATGCCTCAAAAAACATTTTTCTTTACAAAATGATAAAATATATTTTCATTTTTCTTCTTCTGTTCTTCACACATCTTTTCATTTTTCTTAACTTTCTATCTATATGAAAAAGACGAATGGAAACATCCTCTAACATATGTCTAAAAATAATTCTGCGGAGAAAAAAAAAGATGCAATGAATTCTTCTCTCATAATAATTATTATTGAAATCGCTATTTTTGAAAAAAAAAAAAAACACACAAAACCCGATGTGTGTGCTTTACTAACTTGTGTGATGATCTGTTTTTGTTATGATGTTAGAAATTGTGTATATTTATGTCCCAATCAATTTACTCGCTCACACACTATTAGTCACATACATACATTGTGGTGCCTAATTAAACAATAGCTAATTAATGGTGGTTGCTATTGTTGTTGAAAACATTCCTAGGCACATTCACTTTATTTTCTATTCAAATTAATTTAATAATTTATGACGTGATGATGTGTTACACTTGAATCTAGTGAGTTAAGTGTGTTTTAAGCAGGCAAAAAATTGTAGATGAAATTAAATGAAAGAAGAAAAAAACACAAGAAATTAACGATGACATCATGCATGTGGGAACTTTGAGTTTTTCATTCAAATATCCTTTTTTGTCCTCATCGCATGTCTCACCGTTTAATGATTTGCGGTTTAGCGTATTTCGAGTTGCAGCTGCTACGATCGTGCATTCCTTTTGTCTCCATCTAAGGCGTCTCATTCGAATGCTGAAGAATTTCACATGTTTTTCATCATGTCTTAATAAATTCCACAATAATTCGAGTGGGATACTATTAGAAAATTGCGACGTGTGACTTAATAGGATTGTCGTTGTTTGTTTACTTTTTCTACCTTAGAAATAATCATGTTCAATGTTCTAGAAAATATTGGCGAATTTTACCGAAAAAAAAAACATGAAATTTTCATTGTTTTTTGTTTTTACTTTTCTTTTTTTGAAAATTTGTTTAAAGGAAAATCGATAGAAGCTTCTTGTGCAATAATGCTCATGCTATAGACATAAACCAGCATTAATTTATTAAACGAATATAAATGCCAGACTGAATTTTCCAACTTAATTTCTCCTTGAGAAAAGAAAAAGCCATCAAATTTATTCGTCTTATCAAGAAATTCTCAATTTTTTATTATATTTTCAACTGTGATATATGCCTGAAGCTCTGCGTAATTACTCTATGAATAGATGCGAGCTAATCAACCATTTGCAATAATATATTTTTATCAGAGAGGAAGGAAAATTAGCGGGAAAATAAAATGTTGATGGGAAAGTTATTGACAAAAACTGCTAATTTAATGTCATTAAGTTAATGATCTTTAAGACTTAGTTTTGACAGCCGTTGTTCTTTATGGATTACTTGTTGTTTGCATAGTATTTATAGAAAATTGAGGATTTTATTGACAAAATGGATGTAAAGATTTACTTTTGAGGATCTATCTTTTAACAGACTTAGTCTAAAATTGAATGAAATTGTTTTTCAAATCATGTCTTGAGTTTTTAAAAAACTTTGTATTGGATATCTTATGAAAATTATAATCTCCTGAAAAATTTGATTCAAAAATTTGAAATCTTTCAAAAATCTGATAAAATTTCAAAAACTTATAAAAAATGTAAAAACTTAAAAAATGCATGAAGCATGGACGCTGAAAAGTAATCTGAAGAAGAAAGTTTAATTTAAGCAAACTTTTCAGCACTAAATAAATTACGTTTGGTGATGGACGAGGTCAAAAATGTTCTTTAATCATCCACCTACGGTGACTTCCCAACTTGTTATTTTCTACACTTCTCTCCTGCGAATTTTACACACACGAATCACCACGAATGCAATTTGAATTATCTAAATTCCATAAAAACTCAAGTGAGTGCCAAGTGAGAATTGTTTTTCTTTTAATTCTTTTTAATTCCAACACGTTCAAACGTATGTAAAATAAAAGAAAAATTTGAGATGAAAACGGAAAAATCCATCTATGGTTAAACAAAACATGAACAATTTTTCTTTCTCTTCTCTTTTTATTTTCTTTCTTTATTTTCATCAGAAATGCGAACCACCTGACGTGAAATTGAAAATGAGAAGAAAAGATGAAAAATTAAATTTCGTAACAAACACCAACGGATCGAGGCAGGATGGTAATGAAGCATGGAAAAGAGATCGTGTTTCTACACGAAAAAACATTCAAATGCAATGGAATATTCAAGTCGCTTGCATGTATTTGTTCCTGTTCATCCAAACATTTTCTATTTTGGCAGTGTTTACATTTTTATCCTCGCCTTTTCTCACACGTGCAATAGATTCACTGACACCAGCAATTCGTTCAGCTAACGATCGCTCACAACAAGAAAAACTCACTTTTGTGAGATTGTGGATGTGCCGGAAAAATGAAGAAAAATCTTTTTTTTTTCTTTGACTTAATACATAGAACCAAAAGTGTATACAAGAAGAAATGTAAAAAAGCAACTCCAACGCTCATCTCTGAAACTCACTATAAATTCGAGTGTAAGGAACGAAAGCTGTTTAGTTAAAGTGCACAGATCGTTGGAGTATTCCAAATTGGTGGCAACAGTTTCTTGTAGTGAAAGGTTCGTGGACATTATTTTAGTTCTTGCTCGTGTCAATTAAGTGATTCATCAAGGCTCAAACGGATATTAAGATAGTTTTTGAATAGAATTAGGATATTTTTTGACTTAATTTTTTTAAAAAGTTCAAAAAAATTCAAAATTTTATAAATGAATAAATTAGGAAAGATCCCAAAAACATCTAGCGAAAAAAAAAAATTAAAAATTGAATTCATGGATAGATGTATCATGACCATATAAGGCAATGAAAAAGGAAAAAAAAATTGAAAGTACTTACAGTGAATAGTAAAACTCGTGAAACTTAATTGTGAATTGATGAATCACAAAAATTGATAAAATAAATGAGAACAGCCACTTGAAGCTGTTTAAAGACAGCAATAATATTTTCTCAATTTTCCCTGTCTATTTTTGGACAATTCAATCAAAATTGTTTTTTCGTCTGATAAAATCAAAACTGAGGATCGGGAAAATTGAGAAGGCGGAAAGAATCGAAAAAAAATGATTATAAATAATTCGTGTGTGACTAATTTTGGATATTTTCTTCTTTCTTTTCTCCCCTTCATCTCTCGAACTTTACCTGTCTGTCTATAATTGACTGCTGACTGATTGGCATTTTTCATTGAAAATCTTTTGTGACAACCTGTAAATCCAACAACAGAAAAACAAATTAAAATCCAATCAAAATGTGTGATGATGATGTTGCTGCATTAGTCGTTGACAACGGCTCAGGTATGTGCAAGGCCGGTTTTGCCGGAGATGATGCACCACGTGCCGTCTTTCCATCAATTGTTGGTCGCCCACGTCATCAAGGTGTCATGGTCGGTATGGGACAAAAAGACTCATATGTTGGAGATGAAGCCCAAAGCAAGAGAGGTATCCTCACCTTGAAGTACCCAATTGAACACGGTATCATCACCAACTGGGACGATATGGAAAAGATCTGGCATCACACCTTCTACAATGAACTCCGTGTTGCACCAGAAGAACATCCAGTCCTCCTCACAGAAGCCCCATTGAACCCAAAGGCCAATCGTGAGAAGATGACACAAATCATGTTTGAAACATTCAACTCACCAGCCATGTATGTTGCCATCCAAGCTGTTCTCTCATTGTACGCCTCAGGTCGTACCACCGGTATTGTCTTGGACTCTGGTGATGGTGTCTCACACACAGTTCCAATCTATGAAGGTTATGCTCTCCCACACGCCATTCTCCGTCTTGACTTGGCTGGTCGCGATTTGACTGACTACTTGATGAAGATCCTCACCGAACGTGGTTACTCATTCGTCACAACAGCTGAACGTGAAATTGTCCGTGACATCAAGGAAAAGTTGTGCTATGTTGCATTGGACTTTGAACAAGAAATGGCCACCGCTGCTGCATCCACCTCACTCGAAAAATCATATGAATTGCCTGATGGACAAGTCATCACAATCGGTAATGAACGTTTCCGTTGCCCAGAATCACTCTTCCAACCATCATTCTTGGGAATGGAATCATGCGGTATTCATGAAACAGTCTATAACTCAATCATGAAGTGCGACGTTGATATCCGTAAGGACTTGTATGCCAACAATGTTCTCTCAGGAGGTACCACAATGTACCCAGGTATTGCTGATCGTATGCAAAAGGAAATGACAGCTCTTGCTCCATCAACCATCAAGATCAAGATCATTGCCCCACCAGAACGTAAATACTCCGTCTGGATCGGAGGTTCAATCTTAGCTTCACTCTCCACCTTCCAACAAATGTGGATCTCAAAGGAAGAATACGACGAATCCGGCCCAGGAATTGTCCACCGCAAATGCTTCTAAACTATTCGTTCAAACAGAAACAAAACAAAATAAAAATCATCTTCTACATTTTTTTATAATAATAATAATAATAATGTAATTAACATCAACAAACATGAACATCTACCGTCTGCACACCATAAAAAAACAAAACAACACCACCAAAAATACCAAAAAACAGAACGTTTCGTCTTTCTTTCTATTCACAAAACGTTTCAGTTATCATTCATCTAATTTACATCTATTATTATTATTATGCTTAATTCTTAATTATTATTATTTAATTTCATTTGTCAATACTTTTGATTTTAAAAAGAAACTCTTTTATAAATTAATTATATTACATTATATTTGATAATGAAACGAGAAGAACACACAAAGAAATTTGCATTCATTTTTATTACTCATTGTTAAGAGACTGTTTATATTTTTTTTCGTTTTGAAAAAGAGGAATTAAAATGATAAGATTCTATTTGAAAAATTTAAAAATATAAACAATTGGAGGTTCATTATTTCGCATGGCGCCTAAAAAGGCATCTTCTGTTTACCAACCTGCGAAATGTATAGATCTACACGCAGTTTTCTTCTCCTCAATTCATATAGTGTCGCTCATGTCTTCTTTCTTTATGACATTTTCATTTTTAGCTCAATTTTACGCAGCATGAACCTCGCTTCGGTAGCTTTGGTTTGATCTTTTCTTTTCTTTTGCAGTGTGCAAACAACCTCGAGTGGATCTCTTATTGTCTACGTGTGTGTCACATCTGGATTTGCTTTACCCTCAACGATGTATTTAGTGTAGCTATATGGGTCATCTATTCTCAATTTTACAGATGCCTCAAGACAATCTTTTGATTTTTAAGATTACTTCAAAGATATTTAACCTTTACATTTGTCATTAATTCATTTTTATGTTGAGTTTGCATATAGATGCGAATTCAGTAATCTTTCAAGCATTTTTCTTTGAAATAAGTGAAATGGAAAGTTGAAATTTATTCTCGTTTTTCCTTCAAAAACTAAAAATATCGCCGAACAAGCAAATGCTCTTTTAATTTTGAAAAAAAATGTTTAATATAATTGAGAAGTTTATCCAACGGACACGAATGTTATTTTTCATTATAGAGAGCTGGTGCGTGCTTAAATAGTTAACATGTAGGAGGCATATTATTACCCTTTATTTTTCTTCAATTAAAATGATCTTGAGAAAAATTTCAAAAATTTTTGGCAACAAAGTTTTTTTCTTGTCTTTTTGTCGCAATCTTCAGCTGTAAATTTTATTACTTTTTATGCCTTTTCCCAGGGATAATTATTAAATTATTTTTGTGATTTATGAAACCAAACAATTGTCATTGAAAAAAATACAATTGTTCCATTTTTGAAAACCTTTTGTAAGGTTTTTAAAAAATTTAAATTGATTAAATTTAAATTCTCAAAATCCATTGAATCTTAAAAATTTAAAAAAAGCATTAAAAACTGTTATGCGAATGGAATAAAAAGTTTCAGTTGCACTTTTACTCATCGAATCTAAATAAGCCACAAGTTTCTTTCTTCCTTACAATCGACAGAGAAAGAAGAAATAGATGAAAAACACTTTTATATATAAACTACATAATAGACGCATATAAACATACGATCACTTCCAAAAATATCCCCACAATCTGATCGTTCTCATCTAATACAGAAATGTGAGATCATGATATAAACGTAGATTATTAATTATTTAAATTTCACGAAAAGTTTTGCTCCATGATTTTCTTCTTGTTTTTGTCATTGCCTGTTTGTTTTGCTCAATGCTCGTAGCTCGAAACTGATTTTCACGGAAGGCGTTGGTAGAATGAAGGAATGTACACATGAGCATCGCATAAATTTAGTTTACGATCAACAAAGATGTTACCTTGTATTTGATATTATATTTTTTTTTTTGGAAATTTATGAATGAAGTTCACTTGATGTGTAGACTTTCACCTTGCTTTTATTTTAAGATTTAAGAGTTGAAATATAACAAAACTTTTAGATTAATATACATCCATGATCACATGCTTTAAGCGTAATATCGGTATTTTGCTAAATCAGCAAGTTCGGATGTGTTGAAAGGATCGTTAATGTGTTTACGGAACAGATTATGAAATAAGACACCGTCAAAGTTGATAACTTTCTGTGGAAGGAATTTAAATTTTAAAATTTTTTTCTTCATGCAATGTCGATCATTTTACCTTCATTTTCTTAAGTCCAGTTACTTCCAAACATTGTGTTGCATAAAAATGACACTTCGAGAATAGAATCGAAATGACAAATGCTCGTGGATGTAAAACTTCAGGAACCTTAAGGCTTTTAGGAACCATTTTGTCTTCAACTTTTTTTAATGATATTAAAATTATGTCAGCTTCAATGACGTAAATAAAACCCTCATTAGCCATGAATGTTAATGCCAAAATGTCAACAAAAATATTTGTAGGAATAGACTCCAAATTAATGTCTGCAAGTTTTTCTTCGCTTATCATCCATTTTAATAGATCAAACCTAGTTTTATCGTGTTGTGGATATTGTCGTCGATCGAAAAGCTCTGTTAATGGAGGTACAGCAAATTTTGGAATGATTTTATCGACTTCAAACTTTGTATATTCAGGATCATTGAAAGACATTTTCGAAACAATCTTATATCTATTAACAGCCTTATTATTAAGGATAATACCAATATGCTTGCTAAATAAATTATTAATGCTTTCAAAATAATTATCGGATCGATTAACGTCAAAAAAGTTTAAGGTAAAAGCTGGTAAAAGCAGGTAAAAGTGTGTGGAATGAGCTTCAAAATCATGAATGAAAAGTTTAAATTATTATCACGAAGGAAAATTTCTGTTGGATCCTCAAGTTTTGGTGCTTTAAAATCCTTTAAAAAAAATAATTATCATTTTGATTTGAGCAATGACTTTTAAATACATACAACATTATAAAGCTCAATGGATTCCTTGATTTTCTGGACATAAAAATCTCTTTGGCTTCGAAAAATGGCATGAGCAATCAGAGAATTCATGTTCTTGCTTAAAATCAACTGATGGTCCTTGATATATTGAGCGATCGCTGGAAACCTTGGTGCTGGATCATTACGTTGATAGATAAGTGATTTGTGGAAGCGGAACGTGTCATCATACGAAATTACAGCATTTCCATTAAGCGTTGATAAAATCTCAAGTTCCTTATCGTTTAATTTTAACGTTTTTCGGAGAGCGTTTTGCTGTATTCTTTGGTATTAAATGTTTCTTGATTTAAGTCACGCCATGAGTAATGTTTCCAACTTCCAGGATAAATCAAGAAAAACAGAATCATAAAGCGTGGACTTACGAATCTCCTTGGATAATTGATCAGCTATTTCATTACCTTCTATGCCACTTTGCCCAGGTATCCATTTTAGAATTACTTCATTGTCTTGACCTAAGGTTGTCAATCTAGAACTGTTAAAGACTTCACAACACAATTGTTTAAAGTCATTTGGCTGTTAGAAAACAAATCCTACAATCTTTCAAATCCATATCCAGACAATAATTAACACCCTCGCAAACAGCTTGAACTTCTGTCTGAAAGACAGAAGCATGATTTTGCAGTTTGTAGGATGAATTCAACCCCAGATTTTTGCTGAAGAAAACCTATGCCAACACCACTTTCTGACTTTGATGCATCAGTGTGCACAAACTGTCAAGTAAATTCCTTAGATGCAATTTCCTGCTGAGCGACGTTTTGAATCGTGTAAGATTCATAACGATTAGCAACAAATATTTAAATTCTGCATGCACCTATAGAGGAAGACTTTAAGGAAGGTGTGACGAAGAGCTGAAGATCTGGCGCGAAAGACAGAAAGGCACAAGTGGTCGAAAAGAACACATCGAAGAAGAATAAATTAATATAATTAAGTAATAGTGCATGAAATAAAGATACTTCGAGAGAAAGAATTGTAAGAATTGATATTAAATATATGTTTATCTATATTAGTAATTTATTGTGAATGTCATAAATAGATTTGAACTCCGACACAAAGCTGAATAAACCAGAGGATAATTTGGAAGGAAGCAACTGATTTTTTTCATTCCACAATCTATAATTTACAGCTAGTTCAAGTAAGTCTCCTATCAAATTTCAGCACAAAAAATAGGGTAAAATTAGATTTACCGCACACAAACATACAATTATTATCTGATCCGATTCTAAGGTAAATAAACACTCCAAAAAAACCGATTTAATTCCATATGACCTGTAGAAATCCACCCATTAATCCATAATTTATTAATCTTCAATCTACATGCACTTGATTGAGCTGCAGCTTCGATTCTGACTCGAAATAGGGGTTCCAAAGCCAGTTTTGGAGTAGTTGACAATTCTGCTATTCTTTGCAGTTTCTCTGAAAGACATTAACTTGTTTCTTTTTTATGCCACCAAACAACACATCCATACATAATTCTTGGTAGAAAGACATTCAATCTCTGCTAAAACCTTCTAAAATCTTCCCCAGCAGATTCACATGACATTACCTCAAAATTACAGTCCATTAAATTCTTATTCAAATGAAGACAAGGTCAGACCTAAGGGCAAAAAATTAATGATGATGCAAAAAAAATCAGGATTCAACTACCATTTAAGCACCTGCATAGAAAGTCTAGAAAATGTGGTGTTGAAACAGCACTTTTATGTTCTCAAGAAAACTGGACAAACAGGTCAAATGTAGCTTCTTATATTATGTTTATCCTGAAAGCTCACTTACAGAATTAGGTTTGTTTCAATACAATTATTTAATATTCATTTTTATTTTTCCTTTTCAGATTCTATTGTAACAAAAAATCTAGAAACATCAACAATCAGGAAAAAGTCAAATGAAAAATAATATTTACTGCTGTTCTTTAAAAGTCATATTCTTTAAATTTAATAAATCCTTGCTATTTGTAAATATAGCTGTATATTTGTCTGTATTTACAGAAAGGATTGTTGAATAAAATTTGATTTTAAAAAAAATATTATCTGGTGTCTGTACTAACAGCTGTGGATCTGTAAATTACAGCTGCACTCTAATTTTACAAAAATGTAAAGCTTGGTTTACGTCATCTGTAATTTCCAGCTGTAATTTGATGCTAAATAGTAAAGAGTGTTGATTGTTCAAATGTTTTTTGAATAATTATGAGACGTGATTTAGAAGCTGTAATTAATTAAAACAGATTTTCTATCGTTTAAAAAAAATTAATTACTTGTATTTTACAAAACATTATCGGGCTGTTTCACTAAAGTGGTGTGGTATTTCTAATTTTGGATTATAATAGAGTGAACTATGCCTGAAATTTCTGTATACTTTAAACTTTTACTTTTCGTTAAGAACTATCAATTATTCAATTTTCTACCCAAATCTAGTAGATAACCTTCGATTTTTGTTATAATTCTCAGAGATCGAAGCCGATTTTTTCGGCTTAACTCAATTTTTGATTTTTTTGATAGAAAAAAGCCATTTCACACCCATTTCAAGTATTTAAATTGAACTTTACATGCTTTACTATGATTCTGTGTAATAGTTTGTCAGCATGTAGCTATAGTAAGCTCAGAATTTCAATTTAGTCGATTTTAATCCGAAATTTAAGCCGATCGGCTTATCATATAAGTAATTCTCAGATAATTCTCAAACGAATGAAGATATAAAAATTCTAAGTATATGGTAATTTAAGTAGCAAAGTACTCTTGCTAGATCACACATTAGATCTCTTAATAACCTTAAGCGCCTGGAGATATTTCCAAAAAACTGAAGTGGATAATCCGAAATCGAGGAAAATCCACTTTAGTGAAACATGCCGTATTATTATTATTATTATTATTATTATTATATTTATTAAAACTTTCAAGAGCCAGAGCTTTGTCATGGCTTTATTACAATATTATTATATCTAATTGATAAGTTACAATGATTTAATAAAAAATCTTTGAAGGAACTTATGAAAAATAAAACGGTATTTTACGATTCAAAAAAACTTAACAGTTGTTAACGGTTGTTCTTAATTCAAAATAAAGTTCAAAAATTGATCATTCGTTTGTAAACAGAAAATTTGTAATCATAAACAATAAGCTTATACTATAAATAATTATGCATAATGCCGATACTTTGTGTAGTTCCCAAGCAAAAACGTCATGTTGAATGGCTGATTTAGACACTTGAGGTAGAGATTATGAAAGAGCACCCCATCAAAGTTGTTAATTTTCTATAAATTATTTAAAAAAATTATTACAACGCGTGGTTAAAAAATCAAGGAACTTACCAAAAGATCTTTAAGGCCTGTCAATTCTAAGCTTCTCGACAAATATGAATAAAATTTGGAGAACAAAAATGATATGAAAAATGCTCTAGGATGAAGAATGTCAGGTGTTGTGAGATTTTCAGGTACAATATCAATTTCAACATGCTTAATAGTCAGCAAAACAATGTCAGCTTCAAAAGGCGAAATAAATCCCTCGCAGACCATAAAAACTAGCACCAAAATATCTGAGAAAATATTCTTTGGAATCACCATTAAGTCAATATTCCTTAAACTATCTTCATTGATCATCCATTTAAGGAGGTCAAATCGAATTGTGTCATGTCGTGGATATTGTGTTCGCTTTAATAGTTCAATTAGTGGTGGCTGTGCTATATTTGGAAATATTGGGTTGACATAAACAGAACTAAATGTATCATTGTGTGACATTTTGCAGCGTACTTCATATCCTTTTATTGGCTCAAATCTTAAAATGATTCCAATCTGTTTGCGAAAGATATTACAAACTATATCAAAAAAATTGCTGCATTCTCGTAGATCAAAGAAATGGACAGTAAATGTCTTTGGCATGTAATTTAAGATTGAAAATGTAAAGTCGTAGTACATTTTGATGCAGTATTTGTTTAAGTCTCCTTTTATTTCTGCGATCTCGAAGTTCTATGTACGAAAAAGCAATTACAATTAATGTGTGACTGAAGTTAGCCGGCGTGTTGTAACCAAATGATTTGAAACCTTTACTATAATTTTGTAATAATTTCGTCATGCAAAAATTTTCCAAATCGGAAGTAACGGACAGGAGTTATGGCTTATCAAAGTTTCGGAACAGACCGTACCTTTCTGGATCTTAAAATTGGTCAATTTTTAATATGGAATGTGACATGTCTAAACATAAATACTTTTTAGTAGGATTCAGAATCTTTAAAAATATTTTAGATTGGACCGTCCACAAGTGATTTATGTCCAAAATAAGCTGTAAACCGTCAAAAAAAAATTTTCTTAAAAAATCTATTTTCATTAAGAATTCCAAATTTACAAAAATAATTTTTAATTGGACCGTCTAAATTTGATTTATTTTCATTTTAAGTTATAAAAGGGAAACAGTTTTTCAAAGTTTAAAAAATAGATTTTTTTATATTTTAAATCCTTTAGGGTAAATACATACAAGTTTCTCTTAAAATATCAACTTCTAACAATACTTTCTCCACAAAATCTTTGTATAATTACTGTACAGATGTTTTTATACCATTTTGAACAGTCTAAAGTCATCAGGAAGATGAATTTCTTCTGTAGTCTAAATCTCATACAAAAAGAAACTTTGAAAAAAAAAAAATTTTGGGATACATTCGGTGGCTTAAATAAAAAAAATTTATACATATCCAAAAATGAAGCTCTTAACTTGCTTCAAATAATTGCAGTATTTGTTTTGAGAAAAAATAAGCAGAAGTGCCCAAAATCTCAAAATCTTCAGGTGCTCGATATGTTTTAAATGATGGGGGGTAAAATCCCCGAAAGATATTAATTCCACGATCCTGCGGGATAATAACCCCGAAAATCGCAAATTTTTAAATGTTCCCTACGGGATAATATTCCCACTTAGAAATACACGTGGAATTATTATCCTTCCGGGAAGATAATAATTTCACTTACATTCCTAAGTGGGATTATTATCTTTATGGAGCACGATTAAAATTATGGATTAAATTATGGACCCCCTTAATCCCTCAAACACTTTATAAATGGCTTCACAAACTCCCTCAAACTCGTACTTCCTTAATCCCGCAAAAACTTTATAAATAGCTTCACAAAACTTCACATGGCTTCACAAACATCCTCAAACTCGGACTCAATTCCACAAAAATTTTATAAATGGCTTCACAAACTCCCTCAAACTCGTACTTCCTTAATCCCGCAAAAACTTTATAAATAGCTTCACAAAACTTCACATGGCTTCACAAACATCCTCAAACTCGGACTCAATCCCACAAATTTTATTAATGGCTTCACAAACCCCCTCAAACTCGGACTCCCTTAATCCCACTAAAACTTTAATTCAAATTCGGACCCCCCCCCCCCCAACTGAAACCCACGTTGTCAGCACCCCTCATATCATTGACATCACAAAATATACCTGACACTCCCCTTGCCACCACCCCCCACCCCTTAACTGACACCCACCCATAAATCACGTTTTTATCATTTTTGTCATTGGCAAAATTTGAGTTCACGTGATGCAGGATAGAGGATGCAGGGTTTTTTGCTTTTTTGAAAGCAATGGCTGTTTCTACCTTACCCAATAAAAAAATAAAGCCTTATCTTTTTAAACGCAGCAAGAATCAAAGGCAAGAATTAGAAGTCTCTGAGATGCCTCGTTTTTGAGATTTTTGCTGATTTAACCTCAATCTAGAAATCCCTAAAATGCAGCTACCCTAATATGCAGATAGTACTGCCAAGATGCAGATGGTACTGCTAAAGTGCAGATGAAATTCATTTTCCCTAAAATGCAGATGAAATGCTGTTGCTTTAAAAAAGGTTTAATGCAGATAATTTTTATCGTATAAAGTGCAGATAAGATGCTGCCCAGATGTAGATCGTATAATTTTATTAAAATAAAGATGAAATGCTGTTATAATGTAGATAATTTAACGTTGGATATTAATTTTTTGGGCACCGACGAAAAAAGAAATTATTCGTGAGTGACGCTTTGGTTTCTTAAATATCTCCGAAACCACAATAGTAGGGTTTGGGGAACTTGTTAACAGAAAACAGAAAGTCAGCTGTTTTTCGACAAAAATCTGTTAACAGAAAACAGGTCTCAAAAACAGATCTGTTTTCTGTTTTTCATTTTTACATATAATTTACAGAAAAAAAAATTTCTTTGTTTGAAGTTTGAAATCATTATCAAATTTATGGTTAATCATTATTAATTTTTCAATCGAAATTTTAAATTTGTTGAACCTTTTGTAGCATTTACTAAAGTTCAAAAATATAATCAATAATTTTACAAGATATTTTTTTATTCAGAAAGATTTTTTGAATATTTCAAATAAAATATTAGAGTTTATGGAACTTTTACAATACAACAATGCAATGTTTCTTAAAAGTATAAATATTTTTTTTTGAATTTTTATATTCTATATTTTAGAGTTAATTAACGAAAAATTAAGAAATAATAATGCTTAGCTCTATAATGTATGCTTAACTGCTTTTAACCACCAAAAAGTTTCATTATCTTAGAGAAACACTTAGGATAACTCAGTTTATTTTGAATTCTAGAAAAACAGAAAAACAGCTGTTTTTAAAAATCAAAAACCGTAAACAGACTGTTTTTCAAAAACAGCTGTTTTCCACAAACCCTACACAATAGTGACAAATTTCAAAGTTATTATATCTTGTAAAAAACAAAATTGCTTTCTTTTGACATAGAACTTACTTCCTAAAGTTAAGAAGTTATGTCGGGAAATCACATTAATTAAGCGTCACTCACGAATAATTTTTATAAATTTTGTTATAACTTTGGGAGCTTTCATTGATATATCTGCGAATGTATTTTTTATATTCACACCGTTTTCACGTGTGAATCTATTGGTTTTGTTCAGATTGAAAAATCAGTTTTTCGCATTTTGTGAGAAAACGAAGCAAAATTGGTTATAAAAGGTCACAGAAGAAAAGTTTGTGCCTGAAATTTTACATCATTTGCAAAAAACAGATTTCAAATTAGTTGCTGCATTGCTGAATATTCGCAAAATACGCTTTCTGTAAGCAAGCAAACAAGCAAGCAAGTTAATCAGCAAGAAATCTCAATAACGAGACATCGTAGAGACTTCTAGTTTTTTACATTTGATCCGTGCTGCTCTATAGAAGAGCTGTATTGTTTTTGGGCAAGGTAGGAACAGCCGTTGCTTCAGAAAATGCAAAAACTTATGCTTTCTGACGAATTTTTTAAAACAAAAGTTGACTGTGATTTTTATAAAATTAAACTTTGGATGAAAATTTTTTTTAAAAAAACTTTTTAAGAATGTTCGTTAAGTTTTAAACCTTTAAACATATGCTGAGAGAAGCTCAATTGACACGCTAGCTTTATACCTTCAAACGTATGCTGAGCGATTCTCAGCTGAGCTGCGCTTTGAAGGTATAAAGCTAGAAAGTCAGCTGAGCTTCGCTCAGCATATGTTTGAAGATATAAAGCTGGTTCGTCAGGATTTATACCTTCAAACTTATGCTGAACAAATCTAAGTCTATCCATAAGACTTTAGATGGTACGGTGCGAATATATCCGCATTGGGTTTCTACCCTATACACTAGTTTTGTTGTTAAACGACATGTAACATTTTTGCAAGATATATAGATGAGCTCATAAAAAGGATACTCGACCCAATATATACATAAATATGTCATCAGACAAAATAATTACCCTTAAATTTCATCATGGATCATTTAAAGTCATTAACACGCATCAAGAAAAAAATTCAAGGAATATTGATGTATTTTAATGAAATTATACGATCTACATTTGGGCAGCGTCTTATCTGCACTTTATACGATAAAAATTATCTGCATTATACCTTTTTTAAAGCAACAGCATTTCATCTGCATTTTAGGGAAAATAAATTTCATCTGCACTTTAGCAGTACCATCTGCATCTTGGCAGTACTATCTGCATTTTAGGGTAGCTGCATTTTAGGGATTTTTAGATTGAGGTGCTGATTTACTTGTCTTGATGCTTGTTTGCTTACGTATTATTTGATTTTCCCATCAATGCTACAGACAATTTAAATTCTGTTTTTGCCCATTTGCTTTTTTTCCTCAAAATGCGAAAAACTGTTTTTCAAGCTGAACAAAAATAAAGTGAATACGGTGTGAATATAAAATCTATTTCAGGCTATAAAATTTTTTTCTGACAGGTTTTATTTTAAGCTTTTCTTCAAAAGAGCTCAAGTTTGAAAGAACTTACAAAATATTACGTTTGAATTTTGCACGAATCACTTTAATTATTTGCTGAACATTTTCAATAAATTTGTGGCCATCAGTTTGTTTAAGTAACCCTGTATACCTGAATAATCAGAATAACTACGAAATTTTGAGATTATAAACAATCAAATCTCTTAAATGGTCTAAAACCATTGGAAACCTTCTTGGGGCTTGTAGACACGGTTAAACAGCATCAGACTGCCACCATTTTAAAATTCTAGTTAATTTAATAAGAATTTGAGCAGCAAAATTATAATTTTGCGTTCTTTTTATGTTTAAATCTTTACATTTTTCTTAGCAAAATGTGTAAACAAATATTATCATTAGATTTATAAATCTAATTTTGTTAAAGGCAATTTACAATTCTTTGAATGACTTTTAGAAAATTTCAGGAAATAATCGAAAATTTATTATTTTGCCCATTAGAGGTCCTGATTTAATAATTCTAATCGCTGTAAACAACTCGATGCCAGAAATCGGAATTTTCCATTTTCATCATTCGAAGGATTGAAAATTAAAGAAAACTGTTGAAATTAGTATTAAATAACAACTGCTGAGTTGTAAAACAGACAAAAATCTAAAATTAAGTAGTTTTTTTGTATGCTTTAAGTCATTAAATAATGGAATATTTCAATTCTTTTTAAAAATATCATGTGTCATCGAGTTATTAAAAAGCTTTTTGTTGTCCTAATCCGTGAAAAAATACAAAATTTTAAAACATATATTTTTAAATTTTCACTTAATTTTGTTGAATTTTCAACATTTTAATAAATCATTTCTAAAGAATTAATTGTCGTTATTATCTCCGAAAGTTAAAGCTTATTTATCCTTCACAGTAATATGAAATTAATGAAAACATTTTTTTCTAAACATAACTCATTGACTTTGGATTATGAAAGCTTTGGATTATGGAACCATGATAAATAACCTATTTTTCTTAGACTGATAAATTTAAAAATGTTTATCGAGATTTTTTAACAAAAAAAAAATTGTCTGTTTATATGAACAGGCTAACACCAATTTCATGTCCATTTCGACTGAAATGGATGATTCGACTCCGAATTTCAAATAACATATCTACTCCTAAACATTTGAACAAAACTGTGATTTTTAAACAGCCGAATGAATGAAGCGAAACAAAATGGAATTAAAGCTACATTTTCTTTAAACATTCGAGCGAATCTCGAACATAATTTTATATGGAATAGCTAACATCTTTAGATCAGTTGAACCCACTTGAACCCACCTTGATTTTATTTTTTAAACAATTTGGAATAATACATTTTTAAAAAGCAAATATTCAACCAATATTTATGTTTTCTTCGTATTGAAGTTTTTGGAATAATGAAACTGACAAATTAACAAGTGGGATTTTTTTGGATGAAAATCCTATTAGATAATAAATCCACTTATTAATACAAGTGGAATTATTATCCACTATGACAAATAAGTTTTTGGATTTAATTTAATCCATAATTTTAATCGTGCTCCATAAAGATAATAATCCCACTTAGAAATGTAAGTGAAATTATTATCTACCTGCTATAATAATCAGAGATCGAAGCCGATTTTTTCGGCTTAACTCAACTTTTGATTTTTTTGATAGAAAAAAGCTATTTAACACACATTTCAAGTATTTATATTGGACTTTACATGCTTCTTCAAGTTTCTTTTTGTATGAGATTTAGACTACAGAAGAAATTCATCTTCCTGATGACTTTAGACTGTTCAAAATGGTACAAAAACATCTGTACAGTAATTATACAAAGATTTTGTGGAGAAAGTATTGTTAGAAGTTGATATTTTAAGAGAAACTTGTATGTATTCACCCTAAAGGTTTTAAAATATAAAAAAATCTATTTTTTAAACTTTGAAAAACTGTTTCCCTTTTATAACTTAAAATGAAAATAAATCAAATTTAGACGGTCCAATTTAAAATATTATTGAAAATATGAAATCATTGAAAAGAGTACATAATATTCGATGGATGACACGGTTTGGACGAAATTTTCAAATTTTGGTCCATAACTAGAAGTAGACATAAATCAATTGTGAACGGTCCAATTAAAAATTATTTTTGTAAATTGGAATTCTTAATGAAAATAGATTTTTTTAAACATATACCATGACATTGACGATTTTTTTAAGAAAATTTTTTTTTGACGGTCCACAGCTTATTTTGGACATAAAACGCTTGTGGTCGGTCCAATCCAAAATATTTTTAAAGATTTTGAATCCTACTAAAAAGTATTAATGTTTAGACATGTCACATTCCATATTAAAAATTGACCAATTTCAAGATCCAGAAAGGTACGGTCTGTTCCGAAACTTTGATAAGCCATAACTCCTGTCCGTTACTTCCGATTTGGAAAATTTTTGCATGACGAAATTTGACGAAATTAGGAGATGTGTTTTGATATATAATATGTCAGTTAAAGCTTGTTTTCAAGATTCTTACCAACTGAAGTTAGCCTGCAATATACCCAAAAGTTGAAACTGCTGTAGCTTGTCAAGGAAGACATGACGAAATTCGACGATATTATTACGAAATTATAGTAAAGGTTTCAAATCATTTGGTTACAACACGCCGGCTAAATTCAGTCACACCAATTAATTTCATGCAAAGCTGATTAAGAACTTACGATGTTATAAAACTCGAAACTTTCTCTGATCTTCTGGACAAACGACTGGCTGTTGTTGCCATAAATTAAGCGAGCAATTTCTGGGTAAAGGTTGCGACTTTGAAGTATCCGTGAATTTTTTATAAAATCAGTTATGGCCGAGAATCGTAATGCAGCATTATTTCTTTGCTGAATGAGTGACTTATGAAACCGAAATGTATCATCAAATCGAATCACGTCATTTCCATTGAGCGTGGACAGTAAAATAAGCTCATGGTCGTTCAATTGTAAGTAATCTCGAAGAGAAAATCTATTATACTCCATTGTTTGTAGAGATTCCTGATTTAATTCACGGAGTGAAAAGTATCTCCAATTTCCAGGGTAAATGAGGAAATCAGAATCGTCAGCTAAGATGGCTAATACTCGTGGATTACGGCATGCAAATTGTGTCATTTCTGCATCGCATTCACGATTAATTGAGATTTTTAAAGTACCATATTTCGAAGTTAATTTTTCAACCATATATAAATGAGATGTTACTGACGGCATATCCCTTTCGATATTTATAATATCATCAAGTGGACAGTTTTGATTGATTAGGTCTATGATTCTTACTGACTTTTCATAACGCTCATTTTGTCGCTTTGTCCATTCTGACATCTTGACATCATTTACAGGTCCATCTTTAATTTATTTTAGGAGTTTTAATTATTAGGGTTCGCCAAATTGACATGCGCATGCATTCACATGCAAAAACATGCGCATGCATGCGCACGTATTTCTGAGAAAGAAAATTGTAACTTCTAATTTTTACTGGATTCGTTTTAATGTCTCGATAATGATTATTTGAACCATTTTGATTGATTTGACACCAGATCTTGTGAATGGAAGGTCAAATTAGAGGTGTTCTGACTTAGAGGCAGTTTTAAATCGGATTTTTACATTTTTATCATATTTTTTTGATAAATATGATAGAAGGAATAAAATTAAATACAAAATTATTTTTTAAAACTTGTTTTAAAAAACCTACATGCATTACATGAGCATGTGGGCGAACCCTAGTTCTAATCAATATTATTAAGTATGTCCAGTACAAACCTTCGAAAATGATCAGCTGAGCAATTTGACTTAATTTTTGCAATAACTTTTCAAGTGACTTATAGATCTCATTCTGTCGAAGTCCACAAAGCAGTTCTTTTTTATTAGTAGCCATCGGAGCTAATAATCCCATCAAATCAATCACGAGTATTGGATGTAGATTGTTTTTCCTGGAAGTTATAAAAAAAAAATTATTTTTGAATTGTCTCAATATTTCAATGACTTGCCTTTTAAATGCCTCGCATTCATGCTCCAAAGATACTTGATGATATCCGTTTGGTACATGATATTGTATAAAGGTTTGAAGTTGCCGAACACCCATTATAAAAGTTCTTCTCTTGTTTTGGTTTTGGTTTATTTACATTTTGGGCCTCGACGATTTTTTTAGGATTATTGCTCAACGGAAAAATTAAATTTGAAATTCACTGACATTACCTTACAAAACATCAAAAAATTAAATTCTTAAATTTCTTAATTATTCAATCATTATTCCCAAATATTATGATATGATTACGAAAAGTAGATGATACATTAGCTATTCTGCCTATTTTAAGAGCTTTAGCATCATTATTGAGTGATATTTTCATGATTTTTTAAATTTCATTTCAATTTTTGTTTGTAAACAAACATCTCACCACAGAAAAAATTCAAAAAATTTAAAACCGTTAAAATTTTTTAAACTTAATTTTGTTCAATTAAGTATGTTTCGGGGACAATTTATTAATTTTTTTGAAACCAAACAAAAGAGAACAAAATCTCTGATTCAAAAAAATACATTTGAAGATGGGCAAATCCACGAAACAAAAATTTTTTTTTTCCGAAATTTTTCAATTTAAAGTAATTATTTCTCTCTTATGTCACATTATTAAAAAAGATTGAATGTTTTAATAAATGCAATGATGTGAGTAGAAGATCTTAAAAAAAATTTGCTTCTCTATAATCGTTAATTAAAGAGAAATTTGACTTTTTGTAAATCTTCCTGAGTCACATTTTAGCGGAAAACATCTAAAAATTCAATTATCTCAAAAAATATAAGTTTTTAAGCGACATTGATCAACAAGATCTATTCCTTTCATGTTGGAGCATCATATAATTAAGCAAAATGTAGATGCTCAGTGGAAATTTGCTGAGAAATTAATTAATTTCTTGAAAATTTTCTTCCTGAGTCACACAAAACGCTTTGCCACCAAAATATACTAGTTCAAATTTTTTATAACCGTTAAAATATTTGAATTAAAACTTTCCGTTAAATTTTTGTGACATTTACGAGCTCAAATCTTATTCAATTTTCGATAATTAATTAAGTTTTAATTAAATGGATGTTTCCGATGCCTTTTAATGGCTTTTAAATAATATTAACTGTGCTTTAAATTAATTTTTCAGTTTATTTTAAATAAAAAGGTAAACAAATAATAACGGTTTTCTATTTTTCAAAAAAAATTTACCCAAGTAGAGGAATAATTACAATGCGATTTTTTGTGATTCCACAGCTTCGTGGATTTGCCCAGATATATCAATGAAAGCTGACAAAGTTATAGCAAAATTCCCAAAAATTATTCGTGAGTGACGCTTAATTAAAGTGATTTTGCGACATAACTGCTTAACTTTAGGAAGTAAGTTGTATGTCAAAAAATAGAAATTTTTGTTTCCTACAAGATAAAATAACTTTGAAATTTGTTACTATTGTGGTTTCGGAGATATTTAAGATTTTAAAGCGTCACTCACGAATAATTTTTTTTCGTCGGGGCCCATTTAAATTTGTTGCTAAAGTTGTAGAATTTTTTTGTAAAAAATGTTGTAGAAAAGTATTTTCTTGTAAATTGAGCAACTTGAGTCATCAAAATAGCAACAATACTGGTTTTTAAATGTTTTGTGTAGTTCTGTCAGTTGCGCATTTGTATTTTCAGGTGTTTAGAAACGAGAGGTTGTTTAATTAAGCTATATTTTTGTACATTTTTAACGGTTCTTTAAAATTTAAAAGCGTAGGATTTTTCCTGTCCACAATCCATTATCAATAATGAAAATCTGCGAGAAAGTTACACAATACAATATAATTTAAAAATATCTAAAATACGTTATTATAACATTCATAATCAATCATCAATTCAGCTTAATGAGTGATCAAAATATCATACCAAATCCAAACAAAACAACTATAAGACAGTCTGACAAAAGAAAAACAGCAGAAGCTTTGTTGCGTAGATGAGCACCAATAAAAAATTTTCAACTTGGATTCTTTGATCATAAAATATTTAAATAATGATTTTGGATCAAAATATGGAGAATTCGACACAAATTAATGGATTAACGCCGACAAAAAAGAAGGATAATGGCGATACGAAAGAGAACTTATGGTAAGTAATGCATAAACGTAAGCAAATTTCAATAAATCTTTTTTTTCTTCTTTTCATATTCAATTCCTTTTTCTTGTTACGCCTATTTTTCGTTGTTGTATTAACACTTTTTAATCTTATTCATAAATTATACTAAATAATAGTCATAATCATTATTTCGTGGGAATTCTTCTTGTATTTTTAATAACGCTGGTTATATTGCACAAATAATAACTATCATCAAGATCCAGTAAAGTGAGAAAAGAGAAAATTGTACTTTCAAAATCATTCATTTTTTCTTCTCATAGATCCAGCTGTGCATAAAATAAAATCGATTTTGTCACTATATGATTTTTCTATAATTTTAATAATTCTTTATTAATTCTTATCTATGTAAATTTGCAGGTCAGAGATTCTTGGTGAAGTTCAGAAGCAAGGAACAGCAAAGTTACCATCAAATAAAAGTGTGCTGGTTATTGGAGATAATTCATCGGGTAAAACTTCATTGATTGCGAAACTTCAAGGTGTTGAAGATCCAAAAAAGGGCTCAGGACTAGAATATGCTTATATTGACGTCAGAGACGAATATAGGGATGGTAAGAATCTATTTTTAATTTTATATAAAGCTCAGCGAGTAATATTGTGTCTTGCAGATTTAACGAGATTAGGAGTTTGGATTCTTGATGGCGATCCTGGTCATTTAAATCTCTTAAAATTCGCACTTAACGAGAAAAATTATGCTCACACACTCATTATCTTAGCTATTTCAATGACGACTCCATGGAGTTGGCAAGAACAATTGGAGCATTGGATGAAAGTTCTCGGTGATCATTTAGAATCATTAAAATTATCACCCGAAGAAAGGCAGGAACAAAAACAACGGCTCGTGACATTATGGCAAACATATTGTGAGACAGGACATGATGATCTTGATCAATCTGGGTCACCAATGAAACGATCAAATAGATTGTCATCCGTAGACGATGATTTAGATCTTATGCCTCTATCTGATGGCTGTCTAACAGCTAATTATGGATTAGATCTTGTAGTGGTTATCACAAAAACAGATTATATGGTTTCGCTTGAGAAAGAATTTGATTATAGGGAGGAACATTTTGACTTTATGCAACAATGGATTCGAAGATTTTGTCTGCAATTTGGCGCATCACTTTTTTATACTAGCGTCAAAGAAGATAAGAACTGTGATTTATTGTATAAATATTTAACACATCGAATCTATGATTTGCCATTCAGAACGCCGGCATTAGTTGTTGAAAAGGATGCAGTATTAATGTATGTTAATTTCTATTTACACGATTCTGAGTGTTTTGTATTTTCACGAAAAGCAAAATAACGAAATACCATTTTTACGAATTTTAGATCTTACGAATGTACATTTTTACGAAAACTTTTATAGTAAAAACTTGTACGATAAAATTTGAATCTCAAATCTGTTATTTTGCTTTTCGGAAAAATACAAAAGGGGCTGTTCACTTATGACGTCCAGGGGGGGGGGGGGGGGGGGGGGGGGTCAGCAAAAAAAGAACAATACAAATTCCTGGAAATCCATTGTTCTTTTAAGTGAACGACCCCAAACACTCCACGATTCTATTTCTCAATATATTTTCGTACTCATTTAGACCTGCTGGTTGGGACAATCAAAAGAAGATTAGCATATTGTATGAGAACATGCACTCGTGTAAGCCTGATGACTGGTATAATGACATTATCGCACAGCCACCTTCTAGAAAAACAGTGTCAAATAGAGAGAACGAAGTGCAGACTGAAGATGAGCAATCATTTTTGGCACGTCAACTTCAAATGCTTCAACAAAATCAACAAGGTCAAGGACAACAACAGACGAGATCTGTATCTCCAATGAGAACGCCTCAATCAGCTGGAAAAACTTCTCCTAGAACTCCGAGCAGCGGTGGATCGCCTAATAAAAAGGTATGAATTGATTTTGACTATTTAACGGTTTTTGGAATTTTTAAAGAAATCTGTTGGATTAAAAGTCAAGACCAGACTAGACCTGTCAAGACTATTTAATAAATCTCATTTCACTTCCGTAGATCGATCCAAAGATAACTGCAACAGGTACGCCATCCGGTGAAGGTGTCCTCGCCAATTTCTTTAACTCTCTCCTTCATAAAAAGTCTGGAACGACTCCCGGAGGTCCAAATAGTCTAACTAGTACACCTATTTTAAATCGTTCGAACGGAACGGATGGAATAACTCCAGATAGAATGTCAATGAGAACAGACGCTGCTGCTGAACTTGATAGATTATCGAAAAGTGTAAAAAAAGATCTTGATTTCGCACCTCCATCAGAATGTTGAGTATAAAGAAGCAATTGAATAATATTTGTCGGTAATTAAGAATGAAAGGAAATGCCTTCAGCATTATAAAAAAAAGTTTGATTTGAAAAAAGTTTTAAGTTTCTTCAAACTTCCCACTAAAATTAATTGATAGCAGAAAAAATAATATTTATATCAGATAATCGCGTTCTTCTCGTTTTCTCCCTTCATTAAATGCTTCGTCTTATTATTTTAAAGGCATATATAAATCGAAGTTTATCTAGTTTATGACATGTGATATCATCATGCAATGATAAATCAAAATTTGTAATGAATGATAGTCAGTTTGGAGAGGGGAAAAGAAGGTAAATAGATAGATTAAGCACAATACAAAAGTGAGAGAAACGATTTTTAAAGGGAAAGTGACATTTTCTTCTGCTATAACTGTTCTTTATTATTGTCAAGCGCGATTTAAATACTCTTTTTGGATATTCGTGACTGCAAGACATCCATACATGAAATACAATATGCAATTAATTATTGAGAATTTAAACACATCCAGAAATAATTCAGATTTTTTTTTATGTGGCCATAAAAGAGTTATGCTTCTTTATCAAATAATTCTATCCTTATTATTTTTGTCTAACATCATTCTCTCTTCAATCGCTCAAAACCAAAACAAAAATCCAGTGAAAAAACAATAAAAAATGTACTAGTTTTGACTGCTTAAGAAATATTTCATTAATAATTAGCAATTTCTATACTGTCAGCTAAAGTAATCCGTTATAATATTGAAATATTTTCACTTACGAATTGTAATCGATTCACAGTTTGGTGAATTATTATTATTTAAATTAAGTAAATGAAATGAAAAAGATATTTTTTACGAAAGTAATCCTTAGTTAATTTATTTTTATTATTACTTTTACGTCTTGACATCGACTCAAGATTAAAAATCATAGTTTCTTAGACTTTTCCTTAGGAAAATTTTGAATTAAGATGCTTTTCTCTTCCATAAAAAACAAAATAGATGAGAAATATTGTGGGAATTGAAGTTAAACACTTTTTGGAAATATTAACGGTTTCTCAATATTTAAAAATTTATAGGGTTTTTGAAAACAATTGTATGGTTTTGCTAGTTTTCAACTGACTGTTGTATTGTTCAAAATAACAACAATTGTAGGGCATTCAAACATTTAAAACCCTTCAAATGTTTCAAACATTCATAAATCATTTGTGTGGTTCTAAAGCAACAATAATAGAATTTGTAGGGTTTTCTGACATTTTTCAAATTTGTAGTTTTCATCTTCAAACAACCACTTAACTTCAATTCCTTTGCAATATTTTATTGTAAATTTTCCCATTAAATGATATTTTTGAGAACGAAAACTATTTATATTTGTATTTGCGAGGTATAAACAAAAAAGAACTTATCATTATGTAGTGTTACTCATGTTAATTAATACTGAAATATGAATACAATAGGGTCGCATAATTTTCCTCTATTATTCCATCCATTCTTATTTTAATTAAACTTTTTTTTCCTCTTTCCTGTTCTTTACTTAATCAGGTACATCCATTAATACAATGAAAATGAAATGAGTGAAATAATAATATCCGATAATAGAAATATTATTAAATGAATAACGAATCAATTGATTTGTTTCAATTAAATGAAAAGATTAATTGTAACTAATTCAATTATTTTATTTTATTTTTTTGTTAAGATTAAAAAAAAATCCAAATGTGAAATTAATAAGAATCATTCATGAAATTCCAGTAATATTTTAGTGAAAAAAATATAATTCGTGACTAATATAATTTTATTAAACATAATTTGTACTTAAAGCCACTCGAAAAATTAAAAATTGGATTGATTCTGTTGCTGTGGATTGAAATAAATTCGATGGATTAATATAATTAATGAGATTTGTCATCCTATTCAAAACGAATCTGTTGTAAACCTTGACCAAATTAATGCACAGCAACTAGGTCGACCCTATAAAAAATGTGCTAATTCTAATTAGGGTCATTGATAACGCTTATTATCAGCCAACCGGCCCTTCTGTTTAACATCGTAAAAATATCTCCCATAATCAGCTTGTAATTTATAAATTAAAATATATACACAAATATATCATGGCTTTTTTGGACAGATGAAATGAAAGGAATTAAATTTAATAAAAAGAAAAAGATAATTTTTTTTTGGAAAGATAGTGACTTTGTAGATTGGATCATGAAATTCATATTTAATAATAAAAAAGACAGAAAGCAAAGCTAAAAAAAGAAAAATTGACGTGTTTTGAATTATTTATGTCTTTAGTTTATTTTTAAAAAATTATGAAAAAATTCATTTTATAGAAATTTGTAATATTTAAAAAGTCGTAACGTTCGAAACGAATTCAAAATTTTAATAATAGTTTTTGATTTTCTTGCGATTTCTCTTTAATTAATTAAAGTTTCTCAAGATTTATGTTATAAACTATTGAACCTTATTACAGGAAAGTCATTGATTAAAGATCCAGCAGTTGTTATATTATTTAAACGGTAATAATTGTGAAAAAAATAAAAATCATCAAACACGATTTTTGCATTTTTGAAAAATAACGATTTTCAAAAATTCAATAAACAGTCAAATCCAAAGTTGTTCAAAAACTTTTACGCGGAATTGCCATTTTACTTTTAAATTCTACGCTTTTATTCAACGGAAAAGTTGGAACTAAAAGTCGATTGATCCCTTTAATGATCTGACTAGCTGATAATAGATCCATCACATGTCAATAAAATTGAATAATTTTAAAGAAACAAAGCCCAGATTCAAAATTTTCTCGAGATATCCCATTTGTCGAAAAATAAATTTTTAATTCCGTCCGCAAAAAGGCACAGCAAGTCACTCAACAGCGCAAAAAGTAACAAAAACAAAAATTTTAGACAAAGAGAATGAAAAATAATTATTAAAAAGTTTAAAATTCTACTGTCTCTAGACTATTTATTTAATTCTATTCTTATTAATAAGAAATTTTAAAGTGAACCTAAATCATTTAAAACAAATCTGTGATGTTTTGATAAAGAGCAAAAGGTGTAAAAGCACTTTGAAAAAAATATTTAAAAATCCTGCAAAGTGAAAAAAGAAAAAAAAATTTAAAAATTCACTTATCATCCAAAATCGTCATTTAAAGTTCGTCGTCGACTGACTTTCTAATAATTTGAGTTTTATAATTAGACAAAAATTAGATCATCAATATGCTGTACATATTTAATATGGACCAGGGCCGAATGTTGACATTTGATATGTCACTAGCTCTTGATACGTAAGTTATGAGGCATACAAAAATGAAATAATGGAAACGAAGAAAAAAAAATATTTTCATTTTCGCGCAGCTGATGCCTTCCAATAGCTTTCAATGTTATTTTTTTTTGTTTTCTCTTTTTTTTTCTCTACAACGTATGTACAGCGTTCAATCACTTAAGCAGGCGATTGAGAGGCACCATGCAATTCCAGCTGATTGTCAAGTTCTTCTTGTGTCCGGTGGTGAAACTTTAAACTCATCGAGTCGTGTGTGCAGCTATTCTGCGGGAACTGACGATACAAATCCAATTTTTATGTTTATTAATAGTTTAGAACCACGTAATCCGCCACAACCTTGGCCCAGCATAGATAATGGTATGCAGCACTACCTTTTTCGCAAACTACAATGACTAATAAATCATTTCTTTCTTCCTTCCTTCTTCTTCTCTTCCTCACTTGCCCATAATCGACATCGTACCATGTCACATGCTACAATTCAGATGCAGACCTCAAGAATGAAGTCGATAGATGTCTCGAATTACCAGCAATGTATCAAACAGTCGTTAGACGAGCCCAATTAGCACAGCGAATTTATGAATTAGGCAAGGATGAGCTTAAAAATTGCGATTCTTTAGTGCATGAACAACATTTACAGCATCAAGGATGGATGGCTGTGATTGCAAATTTAGAAGATATAACTGATGACTTTCAGAAGCGCTGTAATGAGTGTGATAAAGTGTTTAGGGATCACATTGAGAGACGTTTGGAATATAAAGAATATCTTGAAAGGTGAGTCACATGTGCGAATTTCACAAAAGAACGTAAAGTCGCTGCGTTTGTAATTAGTCATTGTAAATTTTCCCTTTTTGTCTCAATTTTTAACGCATTTTTGCAAAACGAGTAATAGCTGTTAATGAAATTTTATGCATGCATGCAACATGATGTCCATTATTTTTTCAAGATTCAAAATATCCGTCATTTTCAAGATTCAAAACATCCGTCATTTTTGATTTGAATTTATGAAAACCGTTGAAATTTTAAATGTTTAAAATCCGTTAAAAATAGAAAATAAATTTCCTTTACAATGTCTGGTGCCACTCAAAAATTTTCGTCCTATTAAAACTTTTTTCTGACTCATAATTTATTAACAAAAAAAAAAAAAAATCTTTTCGTACATAGCTTTAACGACGATTTAGACAGACTTGCACAAATTCCAATTCTTCCGCCATTACTTCAGGGTGCTGAAGAACAGCCATTTCACGGATTCGATGACGTTTACAATGATACAGGTGAATCGTTTGCAGCACATCCCAATCAAAAGCAAATAAGTGATGCTAATAAAGTAACAAGTGATACAAGCATGGAATCAGCAGGTGAAGCAAGCGGAAGCAAAAGCGACGAGAATCATGAAGACATGAAAGATTCAAATAGTAAATCATCATTGACATTGCTTCAATGGATATCATCAAATGAGAATCAAAGAACATTGAAGCGTATGGCAGAAAATTGTACGAGGGAATTGGAAGTTTTTGATAAGAATGTCATGGATACATTAAAGGATGAGATTGAAAAGACGATAGAAACGGCAAAACGTGAGGATATGAAAGAAATTAAAGGCTTGGAAGAGCGTTTGCAAGGCTTGGAAGGACTCAAACGTGATGCAAATAAGCTTGTAGCTGAACAAAGTGATTTAGCACAGGCATTGCAAATGAATCAAAATAGTGCTTCTAGATCCAATGATGCCTCAATACTTCCAGACTTATGTGCACCGCATCGTAATCAATTCAGTCAAATGATGAAAAATCATAAGAAACTTCGTGATATTCGCAATCGATGTGACCGAGCTAAGGATGAATTATGCAAGAATCTACTCCAGCGCTTAAAATTTGTAATTCACATCGAGAATAAGATGTATGAAATAGATTCCAAATTACTTTTTTATCATCGATGCTTGCGTCGTCTACAGAAACATTTAGGAATAATCGAACAAATTCATCAGGCACCATGCGTCTATGTTCAAGCCGTCACGGAGGTCGTTAGACGTAGAATATTCTCAACAGCTTTCTTAATGGTATGTTGACTTGAAGCTATATATATAACCTTGAACTCTATCAATATACTATATTCGATCGTTTGGGAGGGGTCGCTTAATTATGATGTCTTTTAGAGATGTATTGATATGGTATGAGGGGTATATAAGTAATTTTTTGGAGGATTCAATGAGGATTGTGGCTTTAATCTTAAGCATGAGGGTTTCTAAAGGAAGGAGTGTTTCCTTAGCATCTACTAAACATTCAGTTTTAGATTGAATTGATTCCTCGGATACAAAGTATTAAAATATGGATATCGCAACGCACCTCTATCCACATGTATCCTGTAACTTTGAAAGACATCATTCATGAACGAACACACAATTGCTCTCGTAATTTTTGACAATGATTCTTAAATTTTTCTAACATTTACTTTATTCTCTTTCTGCTCTGTATGACTTCATAGTGGGCATCAAATCTTGCATGTCATCTTCTTACTATCTACAATGAAGAGGTTATGAGACGACAAGAATTTCGGTATTCTTTTGATGGTCACTTTTTAAACTCACTTTTTCCTGGCATTGATGATTTTCCACCGAAATTCGCAACGGAAGCGCCTTCAATATTCGATTCAAGTCTACCCCAACTGACGAAAAATGGTAATTTTAAATTAATTGTATTATTATTCCTAATTGAATTTAATCCCCCATGCTGTGATTTCAATTCTACCTTTTTTCGCTATAAAAAAAAATTCCATTCTTAACTTTTTCATTATTCTCTTCCTTTTATGCTAGATTTAAATGAATTATCGAAGCATCTTCCAGATATTACAAAAGAAAATCAATTACCCAATTTGAGTGCCATTATTGATTTCTTTTCATCTAGGTAAGGAGCGGAATTAAAATAATATTTAATAAGATTCTAAAGTGCTAGTCACACGCAATTCTAAATTTATATTTCTTATTTCTTGTACTTAATTGAATTACACAGAAGTAGTCATAGTAATCAAGAGACAACATCAACTGACGAGAATGTGAATCCATCATCAAATAAGAAATTGTTGAATGTATTTGCACAAATTAGGGATTATGAAAAGTGAGTGTGATTTATGGTGTGATACTAATCTCTATACTTTTATTACATTTATTAATTTTACAGAGGCTTCGAGTCAGAAACGGATACGGAAGAGTACGAAAAGATTGGGCAGATGTCAATAGATAAGAAGGCAACGCAACAAAGTATTTGTGTTGGAACCATTCAACCTGAATATTGTGATATGGCAACGAATATGAGTATTGTCCTTAAACGTGATATTGAAATGGTTACAGATGTGAGTTTTTTTGTGTGCTTTGTTTACTTCATATTTCATCGCGTGTTCTAAATGCATTTTATAACGTAAATAAATGTGTTTATTACATTCACTTTAGTCAGACTGTTTAGTTGTCTGACACGTATGATTATTACAATACTTTTATGGCAATAATCGTTTAAATTGTACGATTATCCAACCTACCATGAAATTATTACATGGCTGTGTATCAAACTATATGTTTTTGCCATAATCGTATGCGGCTCATGGCTTTGAGCATTTTTTCATTGATTGTTCGGAATGTTTAGGTCAAAAGTCGTTGTCGCTTCACGTTTGAATGATTTTTTGAATTCTTGATACACTTGTTATGTACAATAGTCGTAAGCACGACACGACTTTTGAATTTTTCATGATTAAACATTCATATGTAATAAATGTTTTTTTTAATTGACTCAAAAGTTGTGTGGACACGACTATTGAACTTTATTTTAAAAAGTTCACATTATTACTGAAACCCCTTCAATAGTTATTCGCAAATAGGAAGTGATAATCGAATTAATAAATAATAGTCTGCATTGTGCAATTACCTGATAAATTCTGACCACTCATCTCCATTTATCACTTTGTCATGTTGTATAAAATGCATTTAATTCTTTATTCAACAAAAATTCAGGCACTAGTCTTAAAGTTAAAGAACCATTCCTTTCCCAAAAACTAATCACTTTTCAACATTTTAATCCAAATATCACATAGGACAATATGTTTAATGGATTAGAAGTAGATCGTTTACAGAAGCTGCTGATAACAATGTATCGAATTTCAAAGGAATCAACAGATTTATTAAAGCAGCAATTAATTGCATTAAAATCAGAGGTGCTGAAAGAGAGTGAAGTAGTTAAGGCGCAAGTTGATATGCTGATAAAAGCATATGAAGATTTAAAGAATGAGACACAAAATCATGAACGAGAATTGATTCAACGATTGACAGTTGACCATGAATTAGAAATGAATGATCTGACAAAGAAGCTCTTTGTAAGGGAAGATGAAATTAGTACACTTAAAAGTGAGAATGAACAGCTTGAAGATCAGCTGAAGAAATGCGAGGAAAAGTCATCAGGTGAAAAGGCACAACTTGAAAAAAGAATCCAAGAATTGGAGCAAAAAGTTAAGGAATTAGAGAAGAAAATAACACAACAGAATGTAGAAAAAGATGCAGCTTTAAAAGCCCTCAAGGAAGATCATCGCAATGAGATCGAGTCACTCAGATGTAAATTTAAATTAATTACATCCATGGAAAGTTCACCGTCGGAAACAAGCTTAGATAAAATCGACACAATAGACATAACAACGCATGAAACAATAGTTAAGCAAATGAAGATAAATTTCGAGGAAGAAGTTAGGAATGCAGTCAGAGATGCAATTGAGAAAGAACGTGCAACAGCATCCTCAAGTAAGCAATTGTCCATAACACCAAGCTCACCGGGTAAGTCGCCAAAAGATAGTCAAGAAATTTTTAAAAGAATTCTTGAGGAAAAAGATCGTCAACTTGATCAAATGCGCGATCGTGAGCAGTACCTAGTTAGAGAATCGAACAGATATAAAGAAATTATTCAATCTCTAACAGATGTTGAGCTGAATGAGAGTCAAGTATCGCTATATAAAGAAAAGTTGGAAATTGTCCAAAATGAGAAGCGTAAACTCGAAAAAGATCTCGAAAAGGAACGAGCCAAACGTGCGAAATTGAGTAGTCTCGCACAAGGAAATGCTGGATTGACAATAAATTCATGCTCGAGAGATGACATTGTCTTAATTGTATGGAATAGTGTCCATGAGCAATACACAATCGTTCAAGATTCATCAATTTTATACTTTTTACATGCTGAAAGCTACAATGAGTTGAGATTATCGTCAGTTCCGCCAAATACATGCCCGAGAGTTTGTTACTGCATTGGTCGTGTTTTAGACAAGGAATATTGTCACGCAAAGAAAGATGAAAATCGCTATAAAGTTGGAAAAGGAACCAAATTTTATCGAGTCAAAGTTAGGTCGCGATCACCTTCAAGTCGTGATATGGAACGAAGTGTAACAGAAAGGAAGAAAATAAGACGATCAACAGGTATGTCATTATTTCTCATTATTCATTTACGTAAAGTCATTCAATTATAAGTAATTTCCGTTTGTGATGTGTTTTTTTTTTTTGACGAATATCGCTGTTTACGGTTGACTGATTATGCTTTGCTTTGAACTTGCATCGAGCTGTTTGTAAAACATAATTGGAAAAATTAATTGGTTGGAAGTTTCACTTAGCAATTTAGATTTATTTCAAAGATATTGAAATTTGTGAAATCTTCTGAATATGCTCTGATTAATGTTTATTGCAATTTGCATATGACTTGATTTCTAAAATTCATCTCTTTTCTAGCTGGTTTGAAAATTTTTATTTTTAACGGTTTTGTAAGATTTAAATCTTTAAGGGGGTTTGTGAAATTTGAATTCTAACGGTTTTGTAAGATTTAAATCTTTAACGGGTTTGTAAAATTTGAATTAACGGGTTTGTAAGATTTAAATCTGTAGCCGGTTTGTAAAATTTGAATTTTAACGGTTTTGTAAGATTTAAATCTTTGATGGGTTTGTAAAATTTGAATTTTAACGGTTTTGTAAGATTTAAATCTTTAGCGGGCTTGTAAAATTTGAATTTTAACGGTTTTGTAAGATTTAAATCTTTAACGGGTTTGTAAAATTTGAATTTAACGGTTTTGTAAGATTTAAATCTTTAACGGGTTTGTAAAATTTGAATTTTTGCATCATTTTCTGAAAAATTAATGCAAAGATTTAAACTTTAAAATCCGTTGAAAAAAAAAACAGTAATCAAGTACAAATCCAGTTGCCCTCAATCTAAATAAATATGCACATGCACTTTTCTTCCTGATTTCGCAAATTTCTTATAAATATCCATACTTTCCGGGATCACAAAGTCAATCAATTACATTTCTCATCATTAAATTAAATTGAATTTTCATTTTCCATTCCACAGATTCACAAAGTGACTCATCAAAGTCGATGAAACTAGAACGACAACCAAGTAACTTAATAGATTCATTTGCTCAAACTGAAACGCATTCAGATACTATAATGACAGTTGTGGACAATGCAGTACCATCAAATGACATGGTCGATTCTGGTGTCGGCTCACAACACAAATCGACGGAAAAGAAAGATACAACAATGGATGAGGATGAAGATATATCATTATCATGTGAAGCTACGGGTGATAACATGCCACAGCCAATTATTGAGCGTGATGATGATGACGATGATGACAAAAAGGATGATGAGGCAAGTTAAAAGAAATAATTTTTGTGCTTCATTATTTTAATTTGAACAGAAAAGAACATTTCATCCTCATTCATATTATTTGATTCTGTTTGGTGGATGTACTCTCGCTTTTTTGATTGTTTTTCTTTTCCCAAATTTCATTCTGTGATTATTTTTCCATATTTCCAACTTAATTTGCTGTAAATTTTACTTAAACTACATTCTTAATGATAATATCACATAAACATGAGTATCTAAAAATAGTGAAAATCACAATATTTAGGCACCCGTCTTACTAAAGGATTGTGAGCTCGCATCTCTTGATGATTCAGACGAATATCGATCGCTTGAGGGAAAAGATGAGACCGAGGATACGGAACTTTAGTTAATTTAAGCATTTACCTTTCTTCTTTTATTCCTGCATTTTATACATAATGTGACACAAAAATTAGAGGAACGGAACGATGGATACGGAATAATTTATATCAGACGAAAAAAAAAAAATTGATAATAATTGGAAGTAGCGCTATAGATATTTACTTTTACCATTTTTACACCATTATCGTAATGATTTTTTATGGGATTTTGTTTCTCATTTGGGGTAATTGCCTTATCTGTGCTTATCGCTTCGGTAATATTCCGTATTTTTGCTTTTTAGGAGGGAGAGAAACATTGAATTTTGGTATTAAGTTCATTGTTCATTTACATATGAAATTTTAACGGTTTTGTAAAATTCAAATTTTACCGGTTTTGTAAAATTTAAAAAGAAAATAAATTTTCAATTTTCATAGCACATTTGAGACTTTTATTAATCTCAATTAGAACAAGACAGAACGCACAGTAATTGCTCTCAATGAGAAACAGATTTCAAAAATCTCAAACACAATTTTGATGTTTTTCAAAGCTGATCTGTAAGTTTTATTACCGAAAAACAAGAGATTAAACGCAAAATTGTGTTTAAAGCAACAGTTAGTAGTAGCAGTAAAGCATTAAGATTCCTATTTTCTAGACATGCAATGTGTAAATGATTATTTTTTATACATAATCTGGGCATATTCTTAAGATTAATCATCACTGACTAGATTAAGGCATTTTTAATAATAGACAAGAAATGTGTATATTTGAGCCTTGATCATAGCGTGTGGACTAGATATATCTGATATTTTTTGATATATAAAAATCAATGATTGATGAAAAAATTAATATAAACTAAACTAGAATCGCTATTTTAATTGCTTTTTAGACATTTATAAATACCACAAGTTAAAAATATTAAATAATTAAAATTTCATTCATAACTTCCAAATTCCTTCTCCTTCACTCTTAACTCTCTCTATCTAGCTCTATATGTGATTTACAATAAGTCTGTCCTGTTTGCAAGAAGCAATTGTTTAGTTCTCTTACCTTTTTACCACTTTTTATTAAGCAAAAATCAAAAAAACTTCTCAAATGAAATTCTAAAGACTTCATCCTTAACATTAAATGCAATTTTCTATACAAAAAGTTGGAATTGGATGGACGATTTGTGGATTAATTGGCAAGGATTTTTAAGTTCTAATTTTAAAGTATCAGAAATTACATCATGCATCTTCAAATTCCATCCAACCCCAACTTTTGTTGTCTATTTTTAATTAAATTTTCTTAATAAGTCTTAATTTTTCTTATCTATGCATCATTTTCATCATTAAAATTATAATTCGAAAGACAGTGGACATTAGAAATTAACTAATAATTATGTTCACTATTTACAGCCCAAATATTCAGGCATTGCGTTATTTTCAATTCTTCAACCTCTTTTCTCGCCACAATTTTGAATAACTTTGTTTTCGATTTAAATTTAAAATTAAAGAAATGCTTAAAAAGTGAAAATGTATGGGAAAATGTTTTGAAAAAGTTGTCGAAAGGATTTTTTCACAATTTTTAACCGAGTGACACACAATTTTTCGATGAAATTATAACAATTAGAAGAGTAACGATTAAAAAAGAAGGGTCGCAAGAAGTGGCGTTTGTTGTATAGTATTTTGCTGTTTTATGGATTGGGGGGGGGGGGGTCTAAAATTAATATTTTGCTTGACATAATAACCCTTTGTCACAAAATTTCTATAAACAAAAATTTCCTATTTAAAAATCTCAAACCCACTAAAAGTTAAGGAACTGATAAATTACATTTTGATCACTTCATGAGCTCTAAACCTGCTTAAAGTGCTACAAAATAAGTAAACGGCCCATTATTGATAATCACCCTTCAAACAGGAAAAATAAACCTATGGAATTTATGACTACTAATTAAGATCGAATCTTCATCTCTGGGGCATATCAACATGTTTTTTAAGGGGGAGTTCTTTTAATATGAACAGTAATACCCAAGAGAATTAAATAAAATGATTTTTGAGTCATCCCCTCCGTTAAGCCCCTACTACTTATTATCTATCATAAGATTCACTCAAAGCAAATCTTGAAGTGTAATATTTCCATACAAAATTTGAAATAATTCATCTCATAATTGATGCCACTCGGACCCAAAAAAAAAACAATATTTTCTTTTTAAAAAAAGTTAAAGTTAGTAAATTAATAAAATAGAGGAAATAAAATTATCAATTAATGCAGAAAGAATAGAAATAGCAAAAGGCTTGCATTTTTAAGGTCAAAGCTTTACAAAAACTTTATTGGGAGGATAAATGTTACGTATGGAGAAAGGCAATGTTTGTGAAGCTCTTTTAATTGAATGTTTGTGTGCCTATAAACATCGAAAGAATAAATTAAACTTATCAAAAAAAATTACAATGCTTTTGTGAAACTTTCTACTAAAATTGAAACAGTTTGTGCAATTAAAGGCACGGATATCCATAAAATATCACTTTTGCGGTATATGAACTATAGAAAATCTTATTTTAAAATGTAAATAAACAGTTTTTAACGATGCCTGTATATAAATTGCAAGAAAAAAAGAAGAAAAACTTTTTATCAAGATGATAAATATTATATAAAAGCTCTATATATTGTGTAAATATTATTATTCTTATAATCGTTGAACGTAATTGTTAGATGAATGAGAATGAATGCAACAAAAATTGTAAGAAAAATGCTGAAACTTGAATAAAAAAAATAATTACAAAAATTTTAATTTTCCTTCTTTTATTTTTCATTAATTTTCAGAATTTTAAACTAAACTAATCAATCTTTAATAATAATAATAATAATCTTTACAGACTCAAATTTCTTTCAAACTTTACGAAATGTCAATATAAAATAAATACTAATGGATTGAGCATATTAGTTGAGTTCTTTAAACTCAATCAAAAATAAATTTTCTTTGCAAAATGTAACGAGAATGTTTCAAAACCATTCAAATGCTTGTATGTTAAAGCTGTTGTATGGTTTTAATGATTTGAAATAAAATTTGAGATTTATAATTCAAATGAAAAATTAACGACTTTTTTAAAATAGAAAAGAAAAACCTTCCAAATGTTTTGAAAACTAAGGCTGTTGTAGGGTTCACAAATTCAAATAAAAATTTATCGGTTTTTTGGAATTCAAAATTAATAGAGAACCCTTCAATAGTTCAATTAATGGCTGTTGAAGGTTTTCATTGTTTCAAACATTTCAAAATTTATTCAGAATTTTCTTAAATCTATTGACTTTTCTGTCCTGGTTTATTCTAAAAATCTAGCGACAATAAGTCTGATAAAAATTTCATTTAATTATAAAATAAAACCCAATGCTAGCAAACAGAAATTTTTGAGTTCTTATTATTCGAACTTCGAATTTTTGAGGTGCTTATTTTTCGAAAATCGAATCTTCGAAGTTCTTATTTTTAAAAAAATTCGTTGTGAATTATTATTTTTTGAGTAATTTGTAATTTTAGTGAACATTCCTACTAGTTTTTATGATTAAGATAATCACTGTGATGAAATTGCATTCCTTAAATGTTTATGCTTTAAAAAACAGCTAGTTTAAAAAAAAATAAAAAGTAACGGACTTTCTTATTTTGAAATTTTAAAAAAATACCGCGCGAAAATTTTGAAATTTTTTTGTTTGTAACGGACTCTGTTCTCTTTGCTAAAATTGGAATAAAACGTTCATTTTTACAGTATCATTAACCATTGACCTAAATTTACTGAGCATCAGTTCATACTTAAAATAATTTTTATCTTTACAACGTACACAATTTAATTTTATGCTATTTTGTAATTAAGTTAACTGTATTCGAGAGATTTAAATTTCCTTTCAAGACATTTCTTTGGAGATTTTTATTAAATATTTCAGTCATCAAACGAGTCTTTTTCTTCAAGTTTTTAAGATTCTCCTCCTTCTTCTTCTGCTTAACTTCGTTCAAATTTCTCACAACTTTATTTGTCTGCAGTTTTAAAGCTTTTGTGCTAAACATCCTCGTCGTTCGTAAAGGAAGCTCAGGCAAACTACTAAATAATTTCCCTTCCAATGATTTTTCCGATGTTAGTAAGAGAAGCTTAGATCGATGCTCATTCCTTAGTGCTCTGATGTAGAAATGAAAAAGGCAACAGATGAGAATATAAAATTATTGTCAAGTATTCTTAAATTCTACTTTATGTATTCCAAAAATAAGTCAAGTCTTTAGTTTGATGTTTAATGCTATTGAGCAAGCTGCTATGTCAGTTTAAGGAATCAAATTAAGTCTTAGGATTAAAAACGATTCAATTGAATTAAATTAAAAATCTCAAACACACACAATTCGCACGTCAGTCTTTGCAGATATTTTTGTGCGCTCCATAAAAAGCATTACTAAAAAAGACCCAGTCACTCACGCACACATCAATTTTTTTTTCTGAACCTACCTCAATTTTCTCAATTCCTCGATGCACTTTTTACGTTGCTCGAAACGCGAATATATATTCGGACGCTTTTTAAAGCACTTCTGCAAGTCAACGTCCTCGTCAGCATCGTCAAAGAGAATGTCATTATCATAATTTTCTTTATTCTCCTCATAATGATAATTTAGTGACGCTGAATAGCTAATTTGATTGTAAATATCCTTTGAACTTTTACTTATTGTTCCATAATCATTCGACATCTTTTGTGGCAACGATGAGTACGGTCTCATTTTTGGCTTACTCTTCTTATCAAATGTCAATGTATATTTAATAGACGGTGGTTGAGTTTGAAGCTGCTTATCATTCTGAAGCTTTTGAACACGTTTTGTTACAGTCGTTGACGTTGTACCGAATTTTTCATCATTCTTATCTCGAACTTCATAAATAGGTCGAGTTCGACAAATTGAGTCTGTTGTTTGTGTAACTGCAACTTTTTGTTTATGCTCCCTTGAACTCACTGCCTTACTCGTCTGATAATGCGTCGTTGATTTTGTATTAGTGTTGGCAGATGATGAAGGTACATTTGTTAAATCTGACGATTCAAAGACGGACGATGAAGCTAGTGATGTAGATGTTTGGACGTCCTTATTTGCAGTCATTTGTGTTTTTCTTGTAGATTTACTTTTTACTTGAGGATCTTTCGAAACATTACTTTTTGGCTGTGTATAATCATTTTCTTCTAATTTTTTTTGGTGCTGACTGTACTTTTCAAGGAACCTCTTACTCCTGCTGTCAATAAAACTTGAAAGACTTTCAGCTCGTGATAAATTCAGGTCAGAGTTTGGCAATTCCATTTTTGATCGATTTTTAATTTTTTTCATATTTGCGTGCGAATTCCAAAAGTTTGTATCTGTTGCTGCCTTTTTCTCAGGCTCGCTCCTTAATGACTTTTCCTTCGTCTTAATGGACGATAAATTCTCATAAATTGGACAATTCTCACTTAATGACGTCTCATTCCTCTTCAACAAATCACGTAAATTATTTAAATGCTCAATCTCCTTTTCGATCCATTTCAATTGTGATTGCTTCTCACGTTTCACAAAATTCATTAATTGGCTTTTTTGAATCGAATTAGTGCCAAAACTTTCCTTGTTTGACGACTGTGAATTTTGATGACTATATTCAGATTTTGTCATTGGTGCGAGGCATTCTTTGAGCGCTTCTTCACGACGTGCTGATTTCTCCTTCGCTGATTTTTTGACTGAATGGCTTTTTGATGAGTTTGTGCTGTCGATTGTTGATGTTTGAATGCTCTTTGATGTCTGTATTTGTGTGATTTTTTGAATGACTTTTTCAGCCAAATTTCTTTTCAATTCCGGTCGCATATTTGAGTCTAATAAAGAATTTAAAAGTGCTATGGCAACTTTTAATGAGTCGTCAAAGTTTGCTATGTCCTCATTTTTAAGGGATTCACTGAGCACTGAAATTTTACTAGATCCTGCTTCTGTGGCCATTGAAGTGCTCTTTTTTGAGCGACTTGACTCTTTACTACTTACTGATTCTTTCCTTTTTGGTCCATGAACGAATTCAAAGCTTTCAGCAATTTCACTGTGATTTTGGTACACTTCATAGTCTTCTGTCTTGCTTTCTATTGTTGCTACATCCTTACTTGCACTTTTATATTGATTTCTATTTATTGACGATGATTCAACTTGAACACTTTTAGCAGAACTTCGAATTAAACTAGTTTGTGATCCCTTTTCAGTCACTGCTGATATTTTTGATGCTCCTGATGACATTTCTGGAATTTTAGGTGTCGATTGTGCCTCAATGTCTTCAAAATTAATCGTTGTCTGCTGTTGGGGCTGATATTTCTCCTTATATTTCTCATATATGTTCTGCCACTTCTCTTTATTTCTACGAATGTGCTCTAATGCTCTCTCACCTTCCGACACTTTTTCATGTCGATTCTTTATAACAACAATCAAGTTTTCATTTGGCAATTGTAAACCGCGCTGATGGAAATAGGTTTTTAGAGTATTTAATTCGTTATCGTTCAGTTCCATCGGATTATTATTGCATAACTGCATATTTGGATTTTCTTCTAGTTGCGATATTTCTGTTTCATATCCCTTTATCCGCAGCAATTGTACACAAATAAATGTTGTTATTAGATTTTTATGTTCTGTTGATTATTAGAGCGCTTAAAGCTATCAGATTAATTACTATTAAGTTTACTGCTATTAAGCTTAATTATGGGATTATAAGTTTTAACAAATACGAATATTAAAAAATTTAAATCCTAGGATTTATTTAAACTACTTTTTAATCCAATTTTTCAAGTACGTACATCCAAATTGAATTAAATAGCTCACTACTTGAAACTTATTGTAACAAAATAAAAACAATCAACATAGCAACAATATATAACTCACAGGAATAAAATCATCCCATTCCATTGGATTTTGTTTATTGGATACAAAGCTTTCCTCGTCGTTACCAGAACTTGGTGATATTTTCTTATTGTTGTTGTTATTATGTGGTGGAATTTTCGCGCTTTTTGGCGTGCATATGATTGGTTTAATCGGTTCTTCGGTTTTTTCCTCACCAAACGATATGTCTTTGGATAATTCAGGCATAGTATGTGGAAGTGCTGGATAATTTGGTTGCTGTTGTGGCGGAAGTGTTATTTCAATTACTGATTCGTAATTAAATGTCTTTTTCTTATCAACTTTCTCTCCAGTTTGTTTTACAACGACTTTAGTCCCTTCCATTGGTTTAATTGGTTCTGGATCTTTTGATTTATTTGATTCCGTATCTTTAAGTGGACTTTTTCGTATGTGTTCTTCCTTTTTTGCGGCTTCATTTAAATTTTCTAACGATTTATGTTTACTACGGCATGTTTCTGTCGTTATTGGAGACGCTATGTCTCGCTCGTCACTCGAATAGCTGTTTCTTCTCAAGAATTTACTTAAATTCCGTCCTAATTTTAAGTAAACAACAGAAATTAATTAAATTTCTGATGTTTAGGCTTCAACTTTCAGCTTACCTTCACCACAATTCTGAATATAGTTGCGTAAAACACTTTTCATATTAGAATTCATTGCTATAACATTTAAATTGAGCTGTAAATTAATTAATTAAGGCACTTAAAAAATATTCGTTATTATTATTATTCCTTTGATAGTATGTGTAAATTTCTGTGATAGAATTGATCGAAAATAAATTTAAAAATATTTCTGCCGTTAATTTCAGTTGCAAACTAGATCTCAACGTGAACAGACGTGTTTACAAATCGCTCCGCAAATTATTCAAAAAATCTCAAAAGAAACAAAACAGAGATTACCTGAGAAGCTTTTTGTTAGCAAAAAGTTTCAAAATCTCAACAATTCTCAATATTGAGGAAATTATCAGTGAAAATGTTTCACAAGCAGTCGACAATGAGATGACAAATCTCAAACCAAAAAACTTTTTAAAAAGTTCCTTTTTCACCAGAAGACTAAAAAACGATTAAAAGTATTTTCTTGAAGATAAGTCTGTTGTTAAGACTAAAAACCAAGCGACCAAAAAAGGAGGAAAAACATAGCTCAACTAAGAAATTATCCTTAAATTACGCCCCGCGCTTTTAAAGTCATTGTGTTCTTGGACTTAATCACAATATTTTGAAAAAATTTCATGTTACATTTCTTGTTGTCAAAAGAAAATTTTTCAAAATCTGATTCGCTATAAGTGTGATCATATTTTATTTTGAACTTTTTGGTTTTTAGTCTTTTTGATAAAAGCGTGTTTTTAAAAATTTTTTTTAAACGTTATTATTGCATTTTAAAACATATCTAGGTATTATAAATGATAAAGAATGCTAATGTAGATATAAAATCGATATTTTTTTGAAAATAGCCTACTATGATCGAAACCAAAAGTGCTTTATATTGCATTTTAAAACATATCTAGGTATTATAAATGATAAAGAATGCTAATATAGATATAAAATCGATATTTATTTGAAAATAGCCTACTTTGATCAAAACCAAAAATGCTTTATATTGCATTTTAAAACATATCTAGGTATTATAAATGATAAAGAATGCTAATATAGATATAAAATCGATATTTATTTAAAAATAGCCTACTTTGATCAAAACCAAAAATGCTTTATATTGCATTTTAAAACATATCTAGGTATTATAAATGATAAAGAATGCTAATATAGATATAAAATCGATATTTATTTAAAAATAGCCTACTTTGATCAAAACCAAAATTGCTTTATATTGCATTTTAAAATATATCTAGGTATTATAAATGATTTAGAATGCTAATATAGATATAAAATCGATATTTTTTTGAAAAAAACCTACTACCCTGGCAGAAATTTACTAGTAATTTCCTAGTAATTTACTGGATAACTTTCCATTTGCTACTTGCTATTTACTAGTCAAAATCCAAGTTCAAATCATCGCCAAAGACCCGCATTTTCACTTGCTAATTTACTAGTCAATTCGCTTACAATTTAACTAGTAATTTACTAGCAAATTTGTAAAAAATTTAAATGAATATAACCGTTGATTTTCACGTGTTCTTTTGATTTTTCTTATTTGTGTAAATTATTGTAACAGTATTAGAGTGTACTTATTTAAAGTTAATTAAAGTACACTAACACTATGAAAAAAATAAAAGACTTAATTTAATTAAGTCAAATAGTGATGAACGCCCATGACTCGCACGCAAAACTGAGGAAGATAAATAATTAATTGAAAGTCACATACAAATTTGGATCGAGCTTATAAAGGTGATTTCTGCGCGCTCTTATGAAGTATATGGCAAATGCCAAATACGCAAAAAATTCTTTTTATGACGCAAAAAATTCTTTTTGTGACGCAAAAAAATTCTTTTTATGACGCAAAAAATTCTTTTTATGACGCAAAAAATTCTTTTTAAGACGCAAAAAATTCTTTTCATGACGCAAAAAATCTTTTTTTGATGATTTTTCGTAAGATTCGAACTTAAGCAGATTTGATCAAACATTTTACATGGTAATTTGCTAGTAAATTGCAAGTGTAATTTACAAATAGTAAGTTGTTTTAATAATAACTAGTAAATTACAAGTAGTAGAATAGAATTTTATTATTATTTATTTGTCGACGTTACCGTCCGGAAGAATTAGTATTTATACATGTTTTACTTTTTACATTGATTAGTGATACATTTCATATCACTATGGGTGACGTAGAATCAAGATTCTAATCTTCAAATCTAGGTTTCGATTAAATTCAGGCTCTCGTTTCAATCTTCTGTGGGCGTGACGTGATACATTTCAGGTCCGTTCTGACAATATTCCATTATAAGGTAATCTTGTAGGTTTCGTTCCTATTTCTCCCGCTAAACTTCAGTCGAAGTTTCTAAACTTCTGAAAAAGAACAAATTTGGAAATAGCTGGATTCGAACCGACGACCTTCGAGTTACCATACCAAATTTGAGCCAAGTGTCTAGCAAGGCACTTAACTGCTTGAAAGAGAAAGACTAGCAATTTGCTAGTTAGTCTCGCTAGGGCTATGATCGAAACCAAAAATGCTTTACATTGCATTTTTAAAACATATCTAGGTATTATAAATGATAAGGAATGCTAATATAGATATAAAACCCATTTTTCTTTTGAAAATAGCCTTCTATGATCAAAACCAAAAATGCTTTATATTGCATTTTAAAACATATCTAGATATTATAAATGATAAAGAATGCTAATATAGATATAAAACCCATTTTTTTTTTGAAAATAGCCTTCTATGATCAAAACCAAAAATGCTTTATATTGCATTTAAAAACATATCTAGATATTATAAATGATAAAGAATGCTAATATAGATATAAAATCGATATTTATTTGAAAATAGCCTACTATGATCAAAACCAAAAATGCTTTATATTGCATTTTAAAACATATCTAGGTATTATTAATGATAAAGAATGCTAATATAGATATAAAACCCATTTTTTTTGAAAATAGCCTTCTATGATCAAAACCAAAAATGCTTTATATTGCATTTTAAAACATATCTAGGTATTATAAATGATTAAGAATGCTAATATAGATATAAAATCGATATTTATTTGAAAATAGCCTACTTTGATCAAAACCAAAAATGCTTTATATTGCATTTTAAAACATATCTAGATATTATAAATGATAAAGAATGCTAATATAGATATAAAATCGATATTTTTTTGAAAATAGCCTTCTATGATCAAAACCAAAAATGCTTTATATTGCATTTTAAAACATATCTAGGTATTATAAATGATTAAGAATGCTAATATAGATATAAAATCGATATTTATTTGAAAATAGCCTACTTTGATCAAAACCAAAAATGCTTTATATTGCATTTTAAAACATATCTAGATATTATAAATGATAAAGAATGCTAATATAGATATAAAATCGATATTTTTTTGAAAATAGCCTACTATGATCAAAACCAAAAATGCTTTATATTGCATTTTAAAACATATCTAGGTATTATTAATGATAAAGAATGCTAATATAGATATAAAATCGATATTTTTTTGAAAATAGCCTACTATGATCAAAACCAAAAATGCTTTATATTGCATTTTAAAACATATCTAGGTATTATTAATAATAAAGAATGCTAATATAGATATAAAATCGATATTTTTTTTTTGAAAAAAGCCTACTATGATCAAAACCAAAAATGCTTTATATTGCATTTTAAAACATATCTAGGTATTATAAATGATAAAGAATGCTAATATAGATATAAAATCGATATTTTTTTGACAATAGCCTACTTTGATCAAAACCAAAAATGCTTTATATTGCATTTTTAAAACATATCTAGGTATTATAAATGATAAGGAATGCTAATATAGATATAAAACCCATTTTTTTTTTGAAAATAGCCTTCTATGATGAAAACCAAAAATGCTTTAAATTGCATTTTAAAAATATCTAGGTATTATAAATGATAAAGAATGCTAATATAGATATAAAATCGATATTTATTTGAAAATAGCCTACTATGATGAAAACCAAAAATGCTTTAAATTGCATTTTTAAAACATATCTAGGTATTAAAAATGATAAAGGATGCTAATATAGATATAAAATCGATACTTTTTTGATAATAGCCTACTTTGATCAAAACCAAAAATGCTTTATATTGCATTTTAAAACATATCTAGGTATTATAAATGATAAGGAATGCTAATATAGATATAAAACCCATTTTTTTTTGAAAATAGCCTTCTATGATGAAAACCAAAAATGCTTTAAATTGCATTTTAAAAATATCTAGGTATTATAAATGATAAAGAATGCTAATATAGATATAAAATCGATATTTATTTGAAAATAGCCTACTATGATGAAAACCAAAAATGCTTTAAATTGCATTTTTAAAACATATCTAGGTATTAAAAATGATAAAGGATGCTAATATAGATATAAAATCGATACTTTTTTGATAATAGCCTACTTTGATCAAAACCAAAAATGCTTTATATTGCATTTTAAAACATATCTAGATATTATAAATGATAAAGAATGCTAATATAGATATAAAATCGATATTTATTTGAAAATAGCCTACTTTGATCAAAACCAAAAATGCTTTATATTGCATTTTAAAACATATCTAGATATTATTAATGATAAAGAATGCTAATAAAGATAAAAAATCCAATTTTTTTTATTTTGAAAATAGCCTACTATGATGAAAACCAAAAATGCTTTAAATTGCATTTTTAAAACATATCTAGGTATTATAAATGATAAGGAATGCTAATATAGATATAAAACCCATTTTTTTTTTGAAAATAGCCTTCTATGATCAAAACCAAAAATGCTTTATATTGCATTTAAAAACATATCTAGATATTATAAATGATAAAGAATGCTAATATAGATATAAAATCGATATTTATTTGAAAATAGCCTACTATGATCAAAACCAAAAATGCTTTATATTGCATTTTAAAACATATCTAGGTATTATTAATGATAAAGAATGCTAATATAGATATAAAACCCATTTTTTTTTGAAAATAGCCTTCTATGATCAAAACCAAAAATGCTTTATATTGCATTTTAAAACATATCTAGGTATTATAAATGATTAAGAATGCTAATATAGATATAAAATCGATATTTATTTGAAAATAGCCTACTTTGA